CCATAAATCATCCATATTTTTGTGATGATCCCCGTGAACACGAATAAACATGTGAACGTTCCAACGTTCCAACGCAACGTTCCCAGTGGATGGGATGACGGTCATCGGGGCCCAGCACGATGGTTGAGAAGAAACAGATTTGAAGCATTCGGAAGCCACCAGCAGTTGATTATTTATGCATAATCACAATATCATCACAATTCTTGTTGGTTGCATCACCATTTGGGTCAAACCAGGGATACTCTCCAAAAACATCCAAAAACAAACCTGGCTAGCTGGAACATCACCCAGTTCGATGATTTCCCACAGCAACAAAAACCTCCACTTAGTTCCGGGGTGTTCATGGAAAAACCGTAGGCTACGTCCCATTCATATCCCGTTCATATTCCATGAAATACATAACCCATCATAACCCTATATTTATCCCCATTCAACCAACAAAAACTGTTGGTTAAATCCCAACTTGTGTTGCTTAAATCACAATCATTATCCATGATATGCAATTAATCATATTTATATGCCACTATGGTTGTTTATATATGTTTACATCCCATTATATGCACACTTTTGATGGTTAAAACCCCATGCTTGTGGCTTAAATTCAGGAAACTTAAGGACAACCATGGAGAATTTGGATCATCACGAACCATCGCTGGCACTGGGCTCGCCCAGCCCCTGCCAGATTTGCGAATTCGTCCAGGGTTTTGGCCTTGGCGCTCCGGATCACGATCACGAACGAAATGGCTGAACTGAGGCTGTCAGATATTAGTCAGATATTAGATATTCTCTATCTTCCTTTTTTTGGGTAAAATTGTGGTGTAAAAATAGATAAATTATTGAAAACAAATAAATGTGATCACCATTGAAGAAGAGGGGCTGAGGCTGTGGCTTTGCCAATTTACTTCAACTGAAGATTGTAGGATCATCTTGTCATATAGATGTAGATATTAATATTATCTATAATGGAGATATTCTCTCAATTCTTGGGTAAAAGATATTCATGAATCATGAAAATACGTAAATATTACTGTAGTGATCACCATTGAGAGGTTTTTCTCGGCAAATCCTCAAAGTATCATGGCTGTTTTTTTAACCAAGCCACATATCCCGCAGCAATTGCTGATTATTCCACCACCGGGTCCCAACCAGGTCCCACCAACCACGGCCCTTGGGTCCCCCGCCGACGTCGCGTGCACGATGCGTTCTGCCACCGCCTGGAGGCTGGACGTCTCCGGCGGTGTCCAACTCAGGACGTTGGGGCAAAAATGGCCGCAAAAATGGGAGAATCTTTGGGAGAATATGGGAGAATAGTGACTTAATAGTGGGATAATCAGATCATGATGATCATATCAGATAAAAAAAAAGGGAAACATCAGATCATCATGGGAAAATCCGTGTCATTCATGGTTACAATGTTTGATTTAAGGTAATTTAGACAACAAGATTAATATAAAAGATGGGTCGATATGTGCGGAACGTACCATTCATAGCATCTCATGGCTTAAAATGAGGCAAAGAAACAAGCACTGCTCAAAACCCAAAATGTCACTCCATTATTGCACTGCTTTGTTGATAGGAAACCTCGCTATGAGTCCTGACAATCCCCAATATGTGGCATGAGTTTGTCCACAAATGGAGGATAGCCTAAAATATAACACCTTTATAGGGAAAACGATGCTCACCATACCATGCAAGTTTAGCGTACCTATTTTCAGATCTTAGGGAAAGCCTATTTCGAGGCAAGCTGGCATTAACTGGTACCTATGTGTAGCTATCACTACCAAGAACCAAAAAAAGCGCAACAGTCCTAGAGCGCCAGACTCCGCTAGGACGAACGCATCCAAAACAATGCATAGCTACCGTAATGTGTTGTACCCTGTGGTAATTTAACGTAGCGAACTTGACTGAGTCCACCTTTAATAGGTAAATCATCATAAATCATCAAAAAAGTATCAATGGGACATGTCTATAGCATTCCATAGCTACGTGAAATATCGTTAAATGACCAGAGGGCCGGTGCGTACCTTCTCCAGATTGATGGGCCTGGCTGCTGAATATCTCGGGGGGTGGTGCTTTGGAATGGCATACCCTCTGGTAAACTGCCACATAACTATGGAAAATCACAATTTTTAATGGGAAAACTCACTATTTCTATGGCCATGTTCAATAGCTATGTTAGTCATTACCAGGCCGGGTACCTCATAGTGGCAATCCTCTGTCTTCAGGGAATCCCCAAAGCACCAAGCCAAACCATCAGTTCATGTTTGCAAATAACTCATAGCAAATCATGGGTCATGATGGTCATGGGCCACGGTGAATTCCTCACAGGTCTGGATTCCGCAACCGCCTTTTTTGAGTTTGGGCTTCAACCAGGTCTCTCAACACAAATGCTTGCTGGTTCAGTTGGTGCTGAAGCGAAGGCTTTTATCATTTTGATTGAAACATGCTGAAAAAGGCCAGGGATGGGCATTTACAATCATTTACATATAGCTCGGACATGTTTGCAACAGCGCTTAGTTTGTGGCGTTAAAGTACCAAACTCAAGGAAACATCTTTGGTTGACACTCCAACTCAAAAAATTACGGGGGGTGGGCTGTCATTGTGTAATTACTGAGCCATGTCAAGTGAAGTTAGAATCCTTGATTCGGATCTGTGGGTGGAATCTCACGAAATTGTTAAATTAATAGATATTATATGAATGAATGCATACACTGTTCCAAATGCCATCATTGACAAGTATATGCATGTATGCGGTGTGCATATACAAATGTGTACATTGCCATAAACAGACATTGCTACATCCCCTTACCCAAAGGTTGACCTCCCCTTTCGACCAAGATACTCAGCCACCAATAACTTCACAACTTCCTCGGCTCCAATTTTATCCTCGCAATGTGCTGCGCCACCCAACACCCGCTATATATATTTCACGGGGTGACGAAGCATGGTTTATCAATTCGTTATTAAGTTATAATTCGTTTACTACAATAATTACTGAGCATACTGCAATCATCTCTAGTTCCTTCGCAATGGGCACGTTCAAGTTACACATGCTTTTATCACGTGGTAAACCACCACACATAACTCCTTTCCGAGTATTGTTATTTCATGTTTTAATGTTTAATGTGTTTAAAACCATTTAAAACCCACCCTCTCCATACTAATGTGCTTGCGAAATGGGGTTCTTGGTTCTGTTTAGGGGAGAAATGACACCAGAAATCATGGATTTCCCATGACTTTCCCATGACTTTTCCACCTGAATCAAGGGGGAATACATCTTCCTTCAACGGTCATCCGAGTCATCCGAGTCATCTCCCCCCGCGTCTCCAGTTTGTCGATGACCACGCAGGTCTCGGTAAATTTTTGGTCCTGGGCAGCTCATCATCTCTGGTGGCTGTATATTTCAACATATATTCCTCATGTCTCATATGTTTTTCATTTTTTCCATGTATGTAAATATATAATGTATATATATATTTATATTTATATATATATATTATGTTTCCAGTGTTTCCCATGTGTCCTCATATAATGTCAACCCTGGATGAAAAAACACACACTAGTTGATTAATTAGATGGTTACCACAGAAAAATACAAAACAGACACAATCTGCTACTAACTTGGTAACCACTTAGCAGTTCACCGGTTGTATTGGTGCACTTCCACCTATGTGGCAAATCATGAGGGGCGTTGCCAAGTATGACAAAATAGATCACCAAAATGACACATCATCACCCATCATAGCCTACAATCCCTAGAATCATGACAAAATACTTCTGGTTGGTGGTTGACCTACCCCTCTGAAAAATATTAGTCAGTTGGGAAGGATGACATCCCATATATGAAATGGAAAATGAAAAATGTTTGAAACCACCAACCAGCTAGAATCATGACAAAATACTTTGAAGCGCCAGTGAAGAAAATCATACAAAATACAGATAGCTGGCTGCCTTGGTGCAGGCAACTGCCAACATATTCATCTGACCGAGCCACTGGCACGCCGGAGTTTCTGAGCACGGCTCCCAAGACCTTTCGCGAGTTCACCTTGATCCCAACGTCCTTTCGACCGCGACAGACGCGGAACCGCGGAACTTGGGATGCTGGGTGAGCCATCGGGGACTCTTTCAGCATCCGATCAACTGGCTTTCATAAGAACAGGTGGTTTCCTGGAGAACACACTGCGGTTGAGTCAAAATACACCCAGGAGATTCAACTTGAAGAGAATGGAGATAGCAGCCTTGCGAACAAAACGTTGAGAATTGGAGGGTGCAGAGATTTATGATGTTCCATAGCAAAACATCATGATACCATCTGGTTATGACTGACAGTTCGCCATGGAAAATCCACCCATGCTATTAAAAGTTCGGTAAACCATCTATTTCTATGGGCCATCGTAATAACCATGCATGACTATGTTAGTCATAACCAGATGGTAGGCCTATGCCAGTGCGAAACAGAATCGCAGTCACCGGGCCCTGAAGCTTTGTTCGAAGCACTGTTTGGCTGGCTCTCACAAGCACCGTGCGACAAATGGTAGTGAATTCCCATTCGAACGGGAAGATGGGTAATCTATATAGTAGTCTATGGTAATGTGGTAAAATGTGGTAAAGCCAAATATAAGTACATGAACATACTGGTTGGTGGTATACCTACCCCTCTGAGAAATATGAGTTCGTCAGTTGGGATGATGAAATTCCCAATATATATGGAAAACATAAAAGCCATGTTCCAAACCACCAACCAGTATATATATATATATATAAAGTCTCAACCATCCCATTCACCAACCTTTTGAGGATCATTTTACATCCCAATTATGGGTCAAAATCATGGTAGCCAGTCCTGGGAAGTGATGCCCACCTCAGGATGTGACCAGGACTGACTTGTAACCTGCCAGTCCATACTTAACATTCTTGGATTTGCTGCTGGACTGTGAATAAATTCCCAGATTCCCCAGATGGTGATTCATATAATTTATAAGATCAAATGATTAATGGTAATTAATGGTGATTAATGGTGATTTGACGAAAATTAATTATTTATATAATCAATTGGGACATAACTTTTTTCATCTTCATCAAAAGTCGGCTTTGACGCACCGAAATACGCACAATCACGCCTGGTGATCCAGTAGAATTCAGAATTGGTGTTCTGATACAAACCCAAACTCTAAAACATGCGTGGCATCCGCCTAAGTAGGAACGGGACAATGATGGACATATAGTTTGAACATTAGAAAGGATATGCAGGATCGTATATATGTTTTTAATTATTTTTTGGAGACCAAAATTCGCAAAAGTGCACGTATTCGAGAAACAAACACAAACCAAAAAAAAAAGGTAGCTGATGTGGACAAACCCAAAACGGGGTAGCAAAATGAAGCAAAATTCAGCGAAATATGCCTAGTTATGCTGACTGGAACCTGTTTTATGCAACGTTGTGAACTAGTTGGTTGTGCTTGACCTAATGGAATCTCACCTGGTTGGTGGTTTCAAGTTTCAACCCCTCTGAAACATACTACAGTATATAGTCAGTTGGGAGTATTATTCCCGTATATTATGGAAAAAAAATGTTCCAAACCACCAACCAGTTTGGGATATTGCAAACAATGATCCCTATGGCTTGGGGAATCGTGAAATAACATGCATTTCCTGTCACAACGATATATTGGTTGCATCACTCTTGGACGTCCAAAATATACTCTACCATACTGTACCACTATGTGTCACCGCAGGGATTATGGCAAGTCAGGGTCTTTCAAAGATCATCAACACTTCAACCATCGATTGAAGGACCACACCAGATACTGTCGTCACTGTGGTACAGCGAAAACAAAAACTACCCTCTGGTAAACAGCCACATAAGTATGGAAAATCACCATTTTCAATGGGTAAATCCACTATTTCTATGGCCATTTTCAATAGCATACTTAGTCATTACCAGAGGGTATAGAGGCAAATCAAATCAGAGTCGGGAGAATGACGTACAGTACCCGTGGTGCATACGCAGGTTGGTCCGAGCAAAAAAAAGGTTCTGCCAGACAGGCCATACCATTATTGTGTTCCATCGGAATAATATGATGTTTCCTATCTGGATTTTTTTCTATATGAACATGGATTACCCATGATTTTTTACAAAACAACGCAACCGTTTTCATGGTTTTATGATCAAACTTTGGGCGGGTACACAACAGCCTCAAGCTGGCGAAAGCGCAAAGCACAATGGGCTTCCCCTACCGACTGGAAGAAAGTGCAGATTGCTGAGAGGAGTTCCACCTGGCTGCAAAAGTATGCTGGATCTGGTGTTATGTTTTTTCTAACCATCACAAAAAAATATCACCAGGGAAACATGAAAAACACATTGGGAAGTTGAATGATGAAGCTGGGTCGAATATTCTGGATACTGAAAAAAAATAGATGATGAAACTGTCCATGTTATTTAGCAAATGATACTTGGAAATACTTGGAACATCTTTGATATTGTTCGTAGCAAACAATGCGGTTTACTTGGCCGGGACCTTATTTTATACTGCTCATTGGGCAGGGCAGAAATCTCGTCACTTACGAATGTTAGTATGTCCTGACTCGACTGGACCCCATTGGGATGCGCTGTTTCCTAAACAAAAAGCATAACTGAGCGCCCAGACTTATATAATCTCACTGGTTGATTTTGCTTTGTTGTTTTGAACATGTAGGGCTTATTTTATACCTGGGTTTATCACAATAAGAGCCATTGAGAATACCCTTATCTCATGTGATTATACTAGCTACTTACGTTGTTTGATAGGTTTCCCTTCTATGGCTTATCATAATCCCTAATGAATGAGCTTATATACAATTCAACAAACATGATTCACTGTAATAACCACGCAGCAACCAAGGTACCCTCTGGTAAACTAACATAACTATGGAAAATCAATTTTCTATGGGAAAACTCACTATTTCTATGGCCATTTTCAGTAGTTATGTTAGTTTACCAGAGGGTATTTTTCATGGCTGGCTGAATTAGTTATGGCTGTAGTCACACCTCAGCATGGATTGTGGAGATCCCCACGATGTCCATGTTCCACCTCGAAACGGATGGCTGGCATCAGAATATCACGACTGCCGGTTTCACTGATATTTACATGAGAACAACGAATCATGTTTAGCTATGAGAAATAATGGCACATCAGAAAAATACATATATGGAAGGGCATTCATGTTTGATGAATTTTGAGGTTTAGCTTTGAGAGTTAAGACATGTTAAGACTAAGAAAATCATATATTAGAGTGATCACGCGTAAGTCTGTTGCCTTCTCTGGTTGCACCTTTTAAATGAAGAGCTGAAAAGGAACCAAACATTTGTTAACAAAATACACCAAAATACTGTATATTCAAACTGTATGTTCAAACTTAAACTTGCTTCTTGAAGAGAATGTCCATTTCTTTGAAGAAGGACTGCTTCAGATTTGACAGAGACACATTTTGTTTGAGGAATAGTGCATCTGTTCGAAAGAAACCGTGCATTGTAAGCAGGTGCTGCATATTTGGAAAAGAATGCAGAGCTGTTTAAAGCAGATGCTCAGATGCTTGGTTTGATTGACAACTGGTACTGCAATGTACTGCATGCTGGTGGCGGAAACTGCTCGTTTACAGAGGACACACGCTTGTTTCAGCAATAGTGCATCTTCAAAATGAAGAGTGTCCTGAAGAGAAAGTACACAGTTTTAAGGAAAGCTGCATCTTTGAAAGAGGTCCTCATGTGCTCAAGGAATGCTGAGTCCTTAAAACTTGCAGCTATTAAATTCACAAGTCAACTGCACTTTTTGAAATGCAAGCTACATATGTTGACAAGTGTTTCATGATTTAAAATGACTGGACTTTGTGAAAAGTAAGCGCAGCATCGTTTTAAGAGGCATTGCAAACTGTGCACGAAAAGGAATTCAGCAGCTTTGAAATGTTGTCTGTTTGCTTGAAATCAAAGATAACCTTTCTTGAAAAGAAAACTTAAGTTTGGACAGGAAGGCTGCCTGTTTAAGGAATATTGGACCTTTACATTAAAAAAACGACTTGATAAATGAGTGTGCGTCTTTAAGAATAAACCCCGAGGAAACCAGAACAAGAAACACACCAAAAAACTCGAGGTCTAAGGTGCACGATGTGCCACTGCCAATCATATATATATATATTTATATATATATATTTATATATATATTTATATATATATATTGATTGGCTTAGTTCCCCCGCTGGTAATGTTCTCGCTTTCTTCCTCGTTGGCAGGTCTCGAAACGCCTCAGCTCCGCCCGATGAGTTGCTTTTCGTGGGGTGATCATGTCGTCCCGTGACATACCAATGCGGTACCGTCTTCGAACTGTAAAATGGGTATGGATCAATACCTATTAATACCATTTTTAATGGGATGAACATCCATTTACCAGCTATTTTGGGGTTCACTAGGTACCAGGGTTTTGACCCATCCCCAAATACTGGAACAGTTTGGAATTTGTGGCCATCTTTGTTTGCTGTGACTATCTGTGACTCTCACTTTCCACATTCAATCAGCCCCCTCGGGCAGGTAAAACCGAGGTTCCCGCCAGCATTGTGGGATGGAAAACCACTTCAAGGGCAACAGCGCCGCCATTTCACCTGCACAAAGTGGTCACATGGTGGAACTCATGTGGATGTGATGGATATTTGTGTATGTTTGTACGTATTACCTAGCTCAACAAAGCGCATGTTTTGATTGGCTGGCTCATAAACCTCTATAATCTATCTCAGCAGTTCATGTATCTGGAATATCTAATCTCTAATCTGTAACCTATGAATCTATAATCAATCTATCTATTTGTCTATCGATCAATCAATAAATATGTCTATTTGACTCACCTGTTTATCTCATAAAGTACTACAGCAGCATGTTTGTTCGACATCGAGTTCGGCGGGGGCTCATGATGGTTTGTCATGGTAGATACATTGTACATACACTATTCCAAGCTATAGAAAACCACTACAAAGACATTTAGAGATACAATTGAGTCAAAACCTATGATGCTTTTCGAACATGGTCCATTTATAGATGATTAAAATATATAAAATGATGATCTCTGTCAACTAAACAAAGGTTTCACCCATTCTCATCTATCTCCTCCGTTAGTTCGGCTCGGTTTTGACTTCCAGCTTGGCCTGTTTCAGCTCGCATGAGGCTCAACACCTGGGCTTGGTCAAATGGCAGTGGCCCATGAGGGTTTGGGGGAGAGATTGTTTATATAAACAACAGTGAATCCAGAACCATTTGATGATCATTAAAATGTTGTATATATTACGATGAAGTATTTTATTGGATTTCTGCATCACTACATATTGGAATTAATACTCAACAATTGGTAAGTAATTTCAGGTCATATCACTAAATAGTCCAACAGTTGCATGGCTATGTTCGAAACATTAAAATTCGCTATCGAAGTCGGTTGCTTGTGATCAGCGGCAAATGTGCCCTGCCCAACCCCCTGATGCCACATGTGGGTGGAAAATCTATGGTGGTAACAACTCGGTCCGAACCCCCCTTGTTTGGACGATTCATTTTGACAACGCCACTTCTGAAATCAGTGTGAATCCCACATTGGCAATCCAGAAGTCATGCCATACAAATCCAACCAACTCTTGTCTTTCAGGATCGGACACCCCACGGTCGATGCAGTCGATTCTCCCCATCTTCAAATGTCCACTGGAAAGAATCACCCTTTTTGAGACACACCCTTATGGCTGAAGAATTGCACATCATCTGCTGCAATAGGTTTTACATATTCACCTTTATTCATGTTCCATTACCATGCATATGTTCAATTCCAATATTTTCCCATACGTTCCATGATTTTCCCTGATGTTCCCAATATGTTTTTCACTATTTTTCACTATTTTTCACTATGTTTCCATTGTTTTCCAGGTTGGGTTCCCCTTGCCATGCGTGCCAGGCTAGGCGTCATCTCTGGCCTACCGTATCCCGCCAATGTCGCAGTGAAGGCCAGTAACAAAGGCATAAATCCTATGTTTAAAATTCGTAAGTGAATCACAACCAAATAATGTTTCAAAATACAAAGACCTCAAAGTATATGGCACCCGAACCACAAACTAAATGATAGTAAAATAAAAACAAATTGAATAACAATACAGTACCATAAGTATACATAAATCACAACCAAACAATACACCAGGCAAATACAACCATATGAATAAACATAGTCACAGTCATAACTCGGGTCGAACAAAGCGATTGGATTTTGTAGCCCGTTCATACACTATGAGAAGACCCATTGATCAGCCACCATGCCCAGCAGTGGGGAAAACACAATCTGTGCCTATGGTAATGCTACCCAACAAATAACAGCAACAGCAACAATGACATCAACATATGAACATATGAGCATATAAACATATAAACATATCATGATGATGATGATGATGACGACGACGACGACGACGATGAGCACCATGATCTACAAGGATAATAACATTAATCTTCAACGCCAGCAATAGGAACAGCACCAAGATAAGACAGGACAGCAACTTCACTGAAGCAAATATGCCTTCTTCATCTTTGTTTGTGTGTGAGCTTTAGCTTCTCGCGTTTTGGCTTGATTGAAGTGAGAAAAAATAATTGACTTTTCAGTGTGCAGGATCGGGATATTCTTTGGGCAAAAAGAGCAGTAAGAACAACTACTCAATTTTATAGATGGACAAGATGGTGCATCCGTAAACGAGGGATGTACCATGCAGTTTCCCTGAGCAAAGTGCCACAATGGTACCCAACCAGAACGCTTGAAGTGTGGATGAGAACGGGACACACCTGCAAAAACATGTTTATGTATGTATGCGTGTATACATGTATATATATATATATAAACTGTTTATATAGACTATTAATACAATTATAGATATTCATGCGTAAAGAAACCACTACAACAAAACCGTAAATACATATTTGAGTAAGTAGATCCATTAAAATGAACTATATATATATATATATATCATACACATAAATATCATGTTTGTGCTATGCGGCATAACTTTACCACCCCCCAATGGCCATCAATGGCGCCTCAGGGTCACCTTGTAGCCTTCTTTGTCCTCGAAATTGTACCTGCGACCAGCAAGGGCTGTGCAACTCAAATCCCGGAATTCATGGGTGCCATGGTCAAATACGTGATATATGACGTGTATATATGGGTGTGTCTGAAAATAGTGTACCCATTTTTACCCAATGGTTTTGCTGATCATTATCCCTATTAAATGGCTATTTGTTTGGGAATAGACCATATTTTCAAACAAACCCATATGGCTTAACTATGGTTGATTCGGGGAATCCAACTGTAGCATTCATGGGGTTTATATAACTATAAGTCAACAAACAGAACTGGGTTTTGACCCGTGCCATATATAGAATCAGTAATCATATGTCTCTCTGCGCCGTTGAGGTCGTTCTGAAATTCACCAATGGCTATATTATTAGTGGGGAGGAACCGCTCTTTTTCGGAAGAATCTATATGATAATATCAAGTTATTTCATGTTATATTTTTAAATAAATGTTTCCTAAACATGTAGAATGCATATTCTATGCATAAAGTATGTAGTTCACCATGTAGTTATACAATGAATGAACCTTCTGCAAATAATTTTGGGCAAAGTTTGTATAGATGAAGTACGGTGGATCAATCATCAAGATTGACTGTAACTCATAGCATATCAACTCATGGCCCATAATAGAATGGATACAATCCATATGGATCCACAGGGTTCTCGATGAATATCTCCAAACATCATCCCAGTTGCATTTGTTCGGTGATCTCTTCACCGGCTTTCCGCTTGTAGAGTTCCTGCAGTGGAAAACTCCATGGACTTCCACAGGGATGGAGCTACACCATCCCCCAGTCACCATCTTTATAGGTGGTATGTTTACCATTCCCAAATGGGTAGTTTATGACATTGTTTTAACCACCATGATTGGGGTTCAATGTTCACAAAGTAGCCTGCAAAGATCTGCAAACAATAACTGATGCAGGATGCTTTGAACACCTAGTGTGCGCTAGCTGAAATCAGCAAAAGCTATTGTTTAGCAGGTCCCCGCCAGGCATGAAACACTGAACTATGGACAACATCACATCGTATTATATTCTATTTTTCTATTCACTCAAGAAGTATTGCCAAATGAGACAACATCTTAGGAAGAGTTGCAGGGACTTACTGAAGGTTCGTAATTAAATGCATGACCTGCCATGAGGATCCATGGGTTGAAGGCCTTTGAAAGTTAAAAATGGAGGTTAATAATGGAGGTTAATAGTGGTTTATAATAGGTTCTACATGGTTTCACCATCCAATATGGGTTTCAACTTGCGTTTACCAGAATAAGCCACAGAAACCGAGGACTGATTTAGATTTTGGTGATTTTTAATGTCAACCATCCAAATTTATGGGTACCCAAATTTGATCACCAGAACATCAAAGTATGCAACCCCAAAATGAGGATTTAAGTTCCACTATAGCCATTACAGGTTTGCCCTCATCCGAAATCCCAAATTCACACAGTAGATGATTGGTTCCATGAGAAATTGGTCTGAAAATAAGGTACTCCAGAATTCACTGATTGCAGTAATCATCATTTTTCCTATTAAACCATATCAAAATTTATTAAACCTAACATTTTGGGTATACCATGGTAGACCCGTCTTTTTGAGCACCACATAATCTGCTAATCTTGGGATGATCTCTACTTGGTGGCGAACTACCCACTTAGTAAGTGGGTTATAACCCCAGTTATAAATGGGATAAATAGGGTTAATCCACTGAAATCACTGGGGTTATAACCCACTTACGAGCCGTGGGTAGTTCGCCACCAAGTATTGATTTGAATCAGCAGAGAAAACCCTCGCTGCACCTCATGCTCCAAGACGGGTGCATCGTACATTTGGAAGCTGGCGAAACACCGCAGCTTGGGGGCCGGAAGGGTTTAACCACAAGGTGGTGCCCCAGTTCGGAATCGCTAAGTTGGGGTTCACATAACTCCCATTAAACCTATGGTTTATGGCAGATAGTTAATGTCCCCATAAGTTGGTTTATAACTCCCATAACTATGGTTTATGGCAGATATAACGAACTAGTTAATGGGCTTTATAAACCAACAGACATCACTGGGGGGCACCATCCTGCAGGGGCATGCCGTGATGGGCACCAGATTTTTCGGGTCATGTTCGGGTCAACAACGTTTCTCCTGCCCTGAATTTTCATGGATATTCAGCGTTCCAAAATGGGCTGTAGTAACTGTAGCAACACGTGGTGGTGAACAAAAGCCAAGAAATAAGAATCTTCATTGGACAAATAAATGAACAAATCAGAAATTACACAAAGAAAAATCACATGGAACATGAAACACGAAAACATAGAAATCACCTATAAACAAAATAGAGAAACTGAATATGTCCCACCCCTGCGCGCACCCATAGAGTCGCGCTGTCTCCTTCCACTTTCCTGGGCCATGGAGTGTCAAGAATCTCTTCGTTGTTTAGAGATCTCGTCCACAAGCCCACTGCCCATTGGTTTTCCTGGAAAACAGTGCATTTTGAAGGTTTTTTTTGGGTATCCGATAACTAGCGAGACGCCAACTAGTTTGAGGCCGCCAAGTTTCCATAGATGTAGTTCTGCATCCTTGCACATCAGGCATGGTTTTGGCTCAAACGTGGTGGAGCAAAGCGGACAAACGATTTCTCACTGGCATTTACTGCTGGATCAACTCTATGAGCACCAAAAAAGGTCGTAAAAATAACACATTGTGACACAGCTTCAAACGCCGCGAACTGGATCTATTTGCTGACAGAAAAAATCCACTAGTGGAGAGCAACGATCATCAACCACTGGGTAGCCCTGAAATAGCAACCGCAGCCAAGACCGACCTCATGTCGGCAGGGAAAAAGTCCTTGGTGCTGCAGTCATCCCTCTTACAGATGTCATAACATCGATGGGCCAGCAGAGACATCACAGTTCTTTTAGGGCGCCCAAAGCTTTGCCAAAGTTGGCAAACCATAGATATTTCTTTATATGATATATCATATATGTGATTATAATCACAATCATGCGTGTTTGTACAAGATAACTTGTTGGCCTGAACATATAATATACGGTCCGATATCGGTACGTGAAATCTACTATGATGTTCCTGATTTGGGACATGATGTGCTGTTTTCTGTTCAGAATCCAATTTCTCGAACATAAACTCGGGGTCATCGATGTCAATCTTTACTAATCCCCAGTTGCACCCAAGAGCAAAACATATTTACCATCTGGTTACTTAACATAGCGAACTGGAAAATCCCCATTTTGAATAGGTAAACACCATCTATTTCTATGGGCCATCTATACCATGGCTATGTAACAAATAACCCCAGGGTATCAAAACAGGGATTTTGCCCTTGCACCTGCCCTCAATTCCAAAAAAATCCTGGGAGACCTGACCTGCACAAGACATGGAAGGGGCTCGGTTTAAGTAACTGATTCATGTACCGCTTCCTGTTTCCCATATGAATTTATGGCAAAATATCGAGTTGTATTTAGCTAGATTATATATAGCCCCATATATATATATATGTATGTATATCTATATATATATATACTCAATCAAGATGTTCGCAGCCAATCATCCAAACAATTTTCCAGCATTGAAGCGACCTTTTGCAGGAAACCCACTATAATCCCACTATAAATATCATCATCTATATGGGAATAAAACCAGTCAGTCTCGAATTGATGTTACCATTACCATCTCAAAAGAACAACCTCCCGTCCCGTGCTGCTGCCCTGGCATGTCTGGGCAAGCCAAACCCGTGTGCCAGCGGGCGGATCTAAGTGAATCGCAGGACCTGCGCGATGCGGGTCATGTTCGATGGCAAGCTGTAAAAGAATCCTGTTGGGGATTCGGGATTAGCATCAACAATGGATGAAACACGAAACTCACTGGGATTATCCCTACCTGGGATTAGCATCGATAACATTGAAAAGCTGTTTGATGAATCTAACCAGCTGGCGGATCATCCTGACATCCTCTAAAAAAGACGGCGGTCCATTTTGGGTGCGCACGGCGCACGGCAGGGATGAACCAGTGGCTGGTGATTCCAAAGATCTATTTCTTCAGTTGTCCAATTGACTCACTGATCACCCAGTTATTTTAAGCGGAACACACCCAGTTAGGCTATCGTGAAAAATGAGGCTTTTTTCTTCACCATCTACATCATCTTTTTTGCCGCATCCGTACAAAACAGAGAGGTTGTATTTGGGGATCCTGCAATACCTCGGAGATTTTTTGGGATGGTTCCAAAATAGGGTACATTAAAGAGTCTTATTTTTACTTATTTTCCCAGCAACCGATGTTTTAGGTTTGGGTCATGTTGGAAGATGCCCATGGATTTTCCCGAAATCCTCCATGTATGGTACTATATAGCTACATTTTTGGTGCTAAATTTTTGGGATCAAAACCTTGTTTTTTTTTAAAAAAAACACATAGCCTCTCAACAATGGCAAGCTGTCAACTCCTCCATCTCCTCCATTTTTCGTGACCGACGATTTTCGCGAACTAAACCTCCATAATCCAAGGATGGGGAACATGTTCATCATGATTCGTAACACCCGGGTAGTACCCTCTGGTAATTTAACATAGCTATGGAAAATCACAATTTTTAATGGGGAAATCCACTATTTCGACTGGGCCATTTTCAATAGCTTTTTGTATGTTTACCAGGCCGGGTAACCGCCAGTTCCGTTGCAGAAGTCACGCCTTTGGATGCTACTTTCTCCGCAGATTTGATGGCCTCGGTCATGGGATGCCCATGGGTGATGGTGGGGCTCTGATGGGATTTCCCAATGAAAATGGTGATGGATTTACCATTGAAATAGTGGATTTACCCATTAATAGCATGGTGATTTTCCATAGTTATGTGAAAGTTTACCAGAGGGTAAAGTGATCTTTATTCATGGATTGATACATGCAGGTTTTGACGTGTTTTGACATGTTTTGACCATGAAAAAACATGTTTGACACACCTGAAGGTTCGTCAGGATTGCTACCAGTAGTCCATAATCTCTCCAAAATAATGTAAATTGTAAATAAACTTGCTTTATGCTGCTGGTTGCATTCAGTGTTTGGTCGCTTCAAGCTGTCAACAGTCAAGAAAGTGGGGATCCCGCCGAAAGAAAACCACGTGTTCAGCGAGGCAGTTTGTTTTCTCGCAAGATATATGTCCCGTGGTCAGCTTGCTTTTTAAAAAGAGATGTTCAGCGAGGCAGTTTGTTTTCTCGCAAGATATATGTCCCGTGGTCAGCTTGCTTTTTAAAAAGAGATAGACATGGCAAGTCCATCTCCTTCTCCACCAGACAAACCCTCCGGTAACATCCGATTACCTGCAATTTGTTGGGTGATTTTCTCAGCAAAGGCCTCCATTTATGATGGGATTTCCCAGCGAAAAAGCGACAACTCATCGACCTGATTTGGATGAGGGATGATGAGTATCAACTACCAGTGTTTTTCAACAACAGTCATTCTAACATATTCTAACTACCCTCTGGTAAACTTTCACATACCTATGGAAAATCACCATGCTATTAATGGGTAAATCCACTATAAATGGTCATGTTCCATAGCTATGTTAGTTTACCAGAGGGTATATTCAAGCCACCATCAACATTTGCAGCATCCGTTTGTCAGTCTATCATTCTATCAACATTTCAGCCTTTCTGGGGCAAGGATTACCTGGCTGGCGCGCACGTATCACGACCAGTTGCCTTCTTGTCTTCCTTCTTCTTGCCATTCTTCGCCTGAAGATCAACTGGTGACTCTAAACATCTGGCCAATAGCATTGTTATTGTGTGATCATCCTGGGATCTTAATGGATTTTACCAAGAAAAATGGTGACTTAATGGGATTTGAATGGTATTTAGAATAATAAAAAATCAGAACTGGTTGGTGGTTGCCACCTACCCCTCTGAAAAATGATGGAGTTCGTCAGTTGGGATGATGACATTCCCCATATATGGAAAGTCATAAAAGCCATGTTCCAAACCACCAACCAGTATTGTTGTTGTCTGATTTCTAGGTGATCCTAGTCCGTTACTTCGAAGTCCCTAATAATCTGTTCTACTAGTCAGATTAATGACCTCTAAAAATCTTAAGCGTTTTACAAGGCCATCTGCAATGAGACTTTTCGAGTAAAATCCATGTTGGAAAGTGGGTAGATTCTCAAAGAGCTTTGATTTACATGCCAAACAGGCACCATATCATGGGTCAACATTTCAAGGTGGCGTCAGTAAAAACCATGGTCCCAACTTAAGTGGGTCGTTTACCCAATACAGCTACATTGAATTACCCTCCTGGTAAACGTTTACAGAGCAAACTGGGAAATCACAATCTTTATATAATAGGTAAATCAACTAGAAATGGGCCATGTTCAATAGCTATGTTAAATTACCAGAGGGTACAGTAACATACCATCCTCCATCTGAACAGAATGGGCGGTATGCCGCATTAGCCACCCCAACAAATTCTTCTTCGGTTTACCAAACGGACAACAACCTCGCTGAGCCATGACAAACATCCCTATCCCATCCCCAAATACTGGTTGGTAAGTAGGTATGTATACCTCTTAGAGGTTTTAACTGATCCTCAATAAACCAGGTAGTATAACACCTTACAATTTAACTTATATTACTCAATCACTACGTGTATCTTCAAAAACACCCGAACTGCAATGAACTGCACCTCCGCCATGCTGAAGAACAGCCTGCAACACTGGTTTTGGCGTAACATGGTGACAGGATTCACAGTTTTGAGTATGTGCTTGTAATGAGCCCACCAAGAAACCATACCAAACTTCCAAACTTCACGATTTCGGGGCGTTAATAGATGTTTTCAAAGAAAAACAAACACATCAGTCATCAGGTGTACCACGTTCCCCTACAATCATTGCTAGGAACAATCGGCAGTCTCGACCAATGGCATCCCTGCAGTTCATGACAGCTACGGGAAAACCGCTTACTTCCAGCATATCAACATAGCGATTGAACCGCATAATGACTCCAGCTTCTTGGCTTCGGACAAGCTCCACTAGAAGGCCTTACTCCAACATGTTCTCCGAAATGAGTGGTGGAAAGTCCATGAACATCCATCCGCATAAAAATCGTAAACTCATCTATACAGATGGGAATTTCCATGTTGTTTATGCGACAAGTCGGGCACTGCGTTCGAACACAAAGGGCACAGCGTTCAAAACATCGCGACATCCGAAACGGTCCAAACGACATCCGACATCCCTCCTGAGAAAGTCACGGAGTCACATGCTCCGCAGTTTCAACCACAGCTACACCAAAGGTTTGAGCCATCACAGCCCCGGCATGTCATGGCCAATCCAAACGAGGTCCCCCGATATACTTTTTTTTTGACAGCCCTGCAGGTATACTACAGATATTGATTCCATGAATATTATCTGGCGATTTCACACTTTGCTGAACATGGTGATTTTTCAGCTCCAACCAAACCTCCAGTTGACGTACTATAAAACCCCTGGCAATCTTTGGGAAATGATCACCATTCAGCATCCTGCTGGCGGTTTCAGTGAATTTTCCAAGTGCCCAAATTGAAGAGCAGTCCTAAAGTTCGCCCGTCTTTGCAGTGACACACTGTCACCGGGGGCGAAAACCAAGCACAACAAAGCCTCACAGAAACTCGTAGCATTGGCGACGTTGGCGGCGCTTCCATGCGTGTTCCTGCCGGCGGTGGAGGATGTTGGAAATTGAAACAGGGAAGGATGAAACCACTAAAGCACTGAAGGCAGAAATATGATGAAATATGTACAGTAGCGAGAGCTTATCTTGAAGAAAACAAAGATGAACAGATGAACATTTTGTTTGAATGCAAATGAAGATATTCTTAAGATCTTCAACATGTCAATATATCTTCGTGAAAGCAAATCAACAAGTTTTTTTCCATATCAAACAGAATCGCAATGACAAGTTGTGGTTTCCTGGGTTGGGGCGAAAATCATGCTTGGGGTGTTGGGGGGTGAACATGTCTCCATACTGCAGAGACACACGATTTACACTGCCTTGTTTCTGGTGCAAGAGGCACTTCCAGCGTGTGCCAGAAACAATCAATGTATCATTATGTATCATGAAAGATCATTTGAAATACTATCTATTCCCGAGCCTACCATCTGGTAATTTAACATAGCTATTGAAAATCACCATTTTTAATTGGAAAACTCACTATTCTTTTGGCCATTTTCAATAGCTATGTTAAATTACCAGAGGGTAAATTCACATAGCAATGCATAGCAAGCAGGCCATGGCCCATTTATCGTTGGTTTTTTGCGTCGCCATGTTGGACTCCCAGCAGAGCCTGCAGCGGCATCGCCTGGTCCATGGGTGACCCAACCAATTGGCCCGATGGCGAGGACCTACTGTGGATGGGCCAGCGATATCCTGATAACCAGTTAATGGGTGCAAGGTGGTGCCCCAGTTACTCAGTTCGTTAGCTAAGTTGGTGAACATAACTCCCATTAAACCTATGGTTTATGGCAGATATAACAAACTAGTTCATGCGGGTTATCAACCAACTTATAACTGGGGGGCACCATCCTGTGGGCAAAATCCCCTTATTTTGTGTGGGTTTCAACCATCCTTTCGGTGGTGCAAGATTTCGCTGGCCCATCCACAGAATAAAAAAGGTGATGGGGGGTCTCACCTAGACCTGAGTCCCATCCCAAGTTGCAACCCGGGTCCCCGCCATCACAAGCGGTGCGCTGCCAAGGCGCCTCATGACAAGGAGCCATCACAACCACCAGCAAACTGTGCATTACAAATTGAACACATGTTATTCATCTACCTGCCAATAAATGGATGATGTATATTATATACAGTAGTATATATATATATATTAAAATACAGTATATTTCTATATAAAATATAATATATATATATATATATATATAATATATATATATATATATATTATACAGTATACACTTCCATGTATGGACTATAGCAACGGGATGTAGAACACAGTTTTTTTCCCGGGCGAATCTGAAGCATCAACAGTCCAGTCACCAACCGGGGGAGGGGTTGGTGGTCCATCCCGACTACGACAATGTTAAATGTGTTCCTCTGGTAAACTAACATGGCTAGGAAAACCATGGGACAAATGATGATTTATGGTGATTTAATGGGATTTTATGGACTTCAACTAACATAACTATGGAAAGTCACATTTTTTCATAGGTAAATCAACTATAAACGGGCCATGTTCAACAGTTATGTTAGTTTCCCATAGGGTAAATGTAGTAGGATTACAATGTTAAATGTTAAACGTAGTTAACAATGGTTGCTTGATCATGCTAAATGTTAAATATGTTAAATGCTGGATCATTTTTAATTGAATCCCCAGCGGCTTCAACTCCCAACAGCTGGGAACGCTGGGAATCCAAGGACCTTCTAGACTTGTCATCCGACTAAAAAAAAACTGGTGAATAATTCCGGTGGTGAGATTCTCATGATTATCTCATAATCTATTTTACCATATTTTACCCCAGCTACCCACCACTTACATGTTGCCACAATGAACGATTTGTGCTGAGTGGTTGGAAACACCCTCATCACTGGAATGTAGCAAGGGGTATATAACATACCGCCATACCGCATTGATCCTAACCACAAATCGCTAATTTTGGCAACACCTACTTCGTCCTCAATGGGTGGTTAAAATGTTTTAATCCTCATCATACAAAATTATATGGGTATGGATCAATACCTATTAATACCATTTTTAGGGGAATGACCATCCATTTACCAGCTATTTTGATGTTCACCAGGGGTACCAGGGTTTTGACACACTGCCATATCAGCATTTATTGATGGAGGATATTATTGTGGTCGTTTACTGGAGGGCCCTGGGCTGCCGGACAGAGGCGTCGAAACCATCGCCTTCCCCAACTTGGCCAAGCAATGCCCTGCCTGGCGCACGCCCAACAAATGGAGTTTCTTAAGTCATGAAGGATCCACAATCAATGGTTTTTGATAGGAAAAACATTCAAGAACTGTTTTTCATGAGTTTTTCATAAAACTGTGATGTTAAAAAAATGGGAAAACCAGTGGTTTTGAGGTACCACCTTTTTCTGAAACCCACAAATGATGGGAAAACCAACCGGGGGTTGCGGCAAGTATGGGATCTTCACCACCCAAATGAAGGTGTCACAAACACCAGGATGGATGTCTAAGCATCAACACTCTTCATTCAACCTTTGCCCGTGAGTTCTATGATTGGACACAGGTTAAGTTAAATTTCTAGTTCACTGCAAGATGACAAAAATTTTGTGCATTACAGTATGTATATATATATATTTATGACATAAATACGTACATTAATTTATTACATATATATATATATATTCACGGCCATCCTTGTTCAACGAAGACTAAACATCTGTTAGGACCGGCCTCAGTCATCAAGTGCGCCGCTTCGCTCCTCGGAAAATATCATTGGCGAACCATACGGGACGGGGTCCCAGTTCTTTAGCTAAGTTGGCGAACGTAACTACAATAACTATGGTTTATGGTACTTATAACTATAGTTACTGGGGTTTATAAACCAACCAACATCAGCTATAATACCAATAGTGTATAATACGCACATAATTATATTGAGATGGAGTTATAAACCAACAAACATAAACGGGAACCACGCCATCCTGTAAGAATAACAGAAAAACCCTCAAAACATCTCAAAACTAGGGATGGAAAGGAAAGGAAACATGATGAAGCAAATATTTCCATGAACCAAAAACAACATATCCAGGCCCATAGTATATATCCTATCTATTAGGTAACTATTAAGTAGTGTTGGGAGATATCTCCTGACATCCTGGTTGCTGGGATATTGTTCAGTACCCCAATCCAGCATTTGAGCAGGCATGACAGAACAACTATTGGAACATGTGGAATTTTCTTGATTTTTCCACCTGAAAAATATTAGTCACATTGTACATTGGATCATCATGATCATCATTCCAGGCAACGATGGAAAAAAAAAACACTATTTGAAGAACAACTAACGGCCAGCTCCAAAAACATTGTTTTGAGATTTTTTTCACCACATTTCATCCGTCACGGTGTTGAAAATCATGTAGTCTATTGAAATATACATAATTATACATTTGGTGGTATACCTACCCCTCTGAAACATATCAGTTCGTCAGTTGGGATTATGACATTTCCAATATATGGAAAAACATGTTCCAAACCACCAACCAGTATAAATCCCCTCACATGAAACTCTGCTGATTCTGCTGCTTAGATCCCCATTGTGACGATGACCCAAAGCCCCAAGATTCAATAGCCATCAAAAAATGTCGCAACAAACGAATAAATCCAAGACTGAATCAGGGTTTCAACCGGGGTCTTCAATATGAGAGGGAATGGGTTACGGTTATATATATGTACATATCTGTGTATCATCATCTTCCACAAAGCATCACAAACTGCATCATTTAAGGCCCCCGTTTACGAAATCGCTCAGTTGGTTTATTTGCGGTGAATTTTATGGGCTAAGTTGGCAGATACCCTCTGGTAAACATACAAACAGCTATTGAAGCCATGGCCATAGAAATAGCTGATTTACCCAGCTATAAAATGGTGATTTCCCATAGTTATGTTAGTTTACTTTAACCAACCAACAGATCGCCATGACACACCAGGCTCCCCAACGGCGTAGAGCCAACGCTTTCAGCCTTCTCACTCAGAGAAGTACATGCGCTGTTGGCGTCCTCCCAGGGCCTGACAAAAAAACACCTGTGTTTATGTATAACGCATGCGGTAAACTGTACATTATATAGCTATACACACATGTGTTTAATATAAAACATAAGATAATTAATTATATAGGTTTCTATCCCAATGGAGAGCGTCAATCCAATGTGGTAATATGTATGTGTATATATATAATATCATTCCATGGGATTAGGGCATCAAACGCTGTAGCGCAGCGCTTTACTTTTCCTCCAGCCTGTCTTCTGGTCGCTCCCCATTCAGGGGTAAAGGTTTTCTGCCATTATACGTTGGTTACCCCCAGTTCGTAGGGACCCATCACGGGTGTCGACAACAGTCGCGCGATTCACGCATACACCCGGGGGTAAAACCATGCTCCCATGCATACACCTGGTGTTCCTCATCATCTACGGCCCTACTGCACGTAGGAATCGGCTGCCACCATTGGGTTGGTGACGCCGTGGGTTTGGGAGGGTTGGGACAACAGATTATGCCAACAGTCGGTTTTCGACCTTAGAGATTATCTCTTCAGAGATTCTCCCTGATGTTAGCCATTTTGGGAAATACCTTGAACCAAAATGTAACAGTTGGCATAGATGCATGTCTCATACAATTGAATGAGCAGCATACACCAAACCTGCCCAAGAGCACTATATGCATACATATATATTTATAATTGGACATACCATGGTGGTTATGGTTTTGGGGTATGTTCACTGGGATGGTGAACAACGCATATGGGGAGACGACTGATGAGGAGTCAACAAGATTTTTTTTGAGGGCTTGATGTAACAAGGAAAACTATGGTTATTTAGAGATGGGTCCAAAATCGAGGATTCTCTTCCCAATTAAAAAAATGGCGTAGTTTCCATACTCATTGGGAACAACTTTTTTGACCGGAAAACCTGGTCTTCCCGAACCATGAAGAGAGGGCTTCCTGCACATGTTCAATGGAATGAGTAAGCACTGTCAATGATATAAGCAGCAAACATCAGGAACCATGGATATATATTCTGCAAAACAATGAGAAATGATGAGAAATGGATCAGTTTGGAAGTGGGGCATCACATCCGAATTAAGGCAACTTGCATAGTCAAAATGATAAAACAAACATATACAAAGCAACTGGGATTTAATGGGGTGAATGGGATTGCAGCTACACAGAGTGCCTGAAATGAATATGGGGTGAATGATCTGAAATGTGATGCTACGAACGTTTGTGAAATGCGTGTTCTCACCATCCCAGTTTCGGATATCACACAGTATCCAATTCTATCCCCATATTTCATCCCCGTTGTGGTTGGTAAGAAGATGATATGGCTTTGTATGAAACTGGGGTACACAAATATTTGATGCTTGATCATGATTTTGCTACATCCCTATGACAATGGCCGTAACTGGGGACCAGCTATATCCCATGGCTACCCAAATTGACACCCCTTGGGCCGCTGCTTCATCGTGAGGATCTTCTTGTTGGAATCTCCCGGCAACTGGCCGTGGAAGGAGAACGGAGACTCCTGGAGGGCAAAAAATCGTCGGGTGGACGTCTGTCGACCCGAACTGGGGACATGAGAGAAATCCTTGGGGAATATATTCATTGATATATATATATATATAATTGTCTGGTTGGTGGTTTTAACCATCTTGAAAAATATGAAAGTCAATGGGAAGGATTATCCCATATCATGGAAAATAAAACATGTTCAAAACCACCAACCAGTATATATATATATGTTTTAACTATATATGAGATGAATAGAATTTGAAGATCGAAATCCTTGCTTTGGGATTGAACATGGACCCTATTGTGTAAGAAAACAAAGATAGAACCGCTACAGGTCAAAACATGTGGATTTCCATATGGATTTTCACTGTAGCTGGGACCGTGTAACCCATGTAACGATTTTCTTGTAGCCGGCCCAATGGCAATTTGGAATTTTTAGGGCAAGCCGGGACCAACGAACAGCTGCGTTGCAGCTGAACACGATGGATCGTGGATCCATTATGGTCCTCTTGGACAAAGAGTTTTTGTATCATCTGGGAACCTGGCAGGTGCCAAAGTTGGGATGTAGAGGGAATTTTGTGGGTACTTACAATTCCTCTTTCATAGTTCCCAAATTTGGTTTATGATATATACTATATGGTGGCAATTTTCTGTAGTTTGTAGTCTGTATGGCTTTGGAAACCAAATTATAAGCGGGTGGCAGCATATAGTAGGTATTGGAACAGATTGAATTTAATACATTGCCATAACGCAGAAGCACGTAGATGTCTCACATCTAATTTCATCATGATTTTTCTGCGTATGTGATTCGTAAAAATGGGTCTATAATGGTTTATGCATGTTTATGAGCTTGAAAGATTTGGGGTCACATGGGGATAGTACATGGCTACCGTACTTTTCAAGTGGATGGATGATCCCCAAAAAAATAACATCACTTGGGTGGTCCGGGCTCTGATTTGCACCCAGAAATAGAGAAAGTTGACCACCAACAGAATAACTATATACCCTCTGGTAAACTAACATAGCTATGGAAAATAACTATTTTTAATGGGTAAATCCACTATTTCTATGGCCATTTTCAATACCAGAGGGTATCCATAGATACTCTCTTCTACCCCGGAGATTCCCCAACGTGAGAGCCTCACGGTCTGAGATGGTTTCAACATGGCCTCGATAATGACTTACTCTTATGAGGTCATGTCATATCATATTGTAGAATATATGGCCTGCCAATCCTTCCAATCAATGGCAATTCCAGGATCCTAAATTGGAGGTACCTACCATATATAAGACCTATTTTTTAGGCCTATGTAAGTGAATATCCCCAGAAAATATGGCCTTATATGGTACAGTACCTCTAATTTAGGATCCTGGAATTCCCATTGATTCCAAGTGAAGGATAACACTGAAGCAAGGCGCACAAAGTTTGAGTAACACGGATTTTGGCTTCCAAATTATGGACAATCGCCGGGCCATGAAGTGGAATTGCGTCCCATCCCATCCCCCTAATACTGAACACCTCCTGATTTGTCCCGGTCTCTGAGAGGTGTTGGATATTAGGGGGACTGGATTATTTACCATTACCCTCTGGTAAACATACAAAAAACGGTGGAAAATCACCATTTTTAGTAGGTAAATCAACTATTTCAATGGCAATTTTCCATAGCAAAATGTTAGTTTTGCCTCCGAAGCGATGGCCACGCCTCCCTCCGAGCAATGCCCAAGGCTCTTGAGGATGCTCTTCATCCTTAGCGACTGGATTTACCCAGTCAAAAATGGTGATTTAATTCTGATTATAATGGTGATTCAAATGGTGATATAGTGGGATTGTCATGGGATTACAATGATGATTTAGACTTTTGTTTCAATGGTGATATAGTGGGATTGTCATGGGATTACAATGGTGATTTATAATGGTGATTCAATGGTGATATAGTGGGATTGTCATGGGATTACAATTGTGATTTATAATGGTGATTCAATGGTGATAAAGCGGGATTGTCATGGGATTACAATGGTGATTTACAATTGTGATTCAATGGTGATATAGTGGGACTATTATGGGATTACAATGATGATTTACAATTGTCATTCAATGGTGATATAGTGGGATTATTATGGGATTACACTGGCGATTTACAATTATGATTCATTGGTGATATAGTGGGATTCTTATGGTGATTACAATGGTGATTACAATGGTGATTACAATGGTGATTAAAATGGTGATTCAATGGTGATATAGTGGGACTATTATGGGATTACAATGGTGATTTACAATTGCGATTCAATGGTGATAAAGTGGGGTTATTATGGGATTACACTGATGATTTACAATTATGATTCAATGGTGATATAGTTGGTTTCTTATGGTGATTACAATGGTGATTAACATGGGGATTCAATGGTGATATAGTGGGACTATTATGGGATTACAATGGTGATTTACAATTGCGATTCAATGCTGATATAGTGGGATTATTATGGGATTACACTGGTGATTTACACTTTTGTTTCAATGGTGGTATAGTGGGATTATTATGGGATTACAATGGTGATTTAAAATGGTGATTCAATGGTGGTATAGTGGGATTTTGATGGGATTACAATTGTGATTTACAATTGTGATTCAATGGTGATATAGTGGGGTTATTATGGGATTACAATGATAGTTTACAATTGTGATATGGTGGGATTATTTTTATGGGGTTACAATGGTGATTATAATATGAGAATTTTGATTCAATGGTGATATAGTGGGATTATTATGGGGTTACAATGGTGATTTATAATGGTGATTTATTGGTGATATAGTGGCATTATTCGGGATTACAATTGTGATTTATAATGGTGATTTAATGCTGATATAGTGGGATTATTATGGGATTACAATGGTGATTTGTAATGGTGATTTAATGGTGATATAGTGGGATTACAATGGTGATTACAATGGTGATTACAATGGTGATATAGTTGGATTATGATGGGATTACAATGGTGATTTATAGTGATATAGTGGGATTGATAATTATGGGATTACAATGGTGATTATATTGGTGATTTATAATAGTGATTTATAATGGCACATGTCCACTTTTATTATTCAATTTATAATGGTTCTGCATTATTTTCATCTGAGCCTCTGATCACGATTAGTGAAATCGTTGGGAACAAATCTGTGTTTCCAACGCGACTCATCTCTAACCTTGGAAGCAATCGACATCCTACAGGATGGTGCCCCCCAGTTGTGTTTGTGGGTCTATTAACCCCATGAAAACTGTAGTTATATGATGTTATATGTATCATAAACCATGGAATTCAGCCACTTTTTTAAGGCAACTGAACGATATCCAACGAGGGCCCCATCCTGTATCAAAACCACGTGCATTTTGCCACCTCAAATGTGCATGCCATCCATTGGTCATCGTCCAAAATCCACCGCTTGGACGAGACAGGGGAGATGGTGATTGGCTGCGCAGCCTCTCATTCCTGGTTTCATTCCCCAAGAGTGACCTGTTATGGCAAAATTCTTCCAAACTCGGACCAGAAACTTGAAACAAAACAAATGGTGGTTTCTTAAGTAAGGAATCCCCAGTCGTCACCATATGGTTTCAATATGTTTCAATACTAAAATTGATTGTCATGACTTGGATCATGTGGGGCTACCCCCATGACTTAGAAAAAACCCAACATCTTTGAATCATCTCCAGAGCATCTTGAACCTTATCCAACCAGTTCTATTCGTTCAGCGATCTGTCCCGAGCGTCTCGTAAGGGTCGATCGACTCGTCTTGTAGCGCCTGACACATAGTGCAGCCCGGTTGGTTTGGTCGTTGCACATGGTTTTAATAAACAAACATTTGGGTTTGCAAATAGTTGCACAACTCACCAAAGGATATCGTTGAGATCAGCATAATTGGCACATAAACCCATGAAACTCAGTTGCTGATAAGGTAGCAGTACTAAATTACAGTATATACATTGAATTCCTTAGTTGTTGCATATCATTTTTTTTTGCCTGGGTGGTAGTTGCTGATCATTTACGAAGCTACTTGGTGGCTGAGCCGCAACCTTCAATACTATGGCCCCACGGGGTATCATTCTCCATTTTGACGGGTTGAAATAAAGAATCAAAATTTGAAAGATTTGGTACCAACAGATACAATACCACTTGAAAATCCCAATGTTAAATAGGATGAACAGGTGACTCATTTACACACACCAATGATCTAATGGGAATTTCCTGTTGCTTTGTTGCTACAAACAAGTCACGGGCATCCCGGGCATCAACTCACCACAACCAGGATGGGTCTGACGGAAAAAGGTTCAGCGTTTCCCAAAACATCTTTGAGTCACGTTGGATTTTTTGAACTTCCGGAGCTCATTTCCTCCTACTTGTTTTTTTGGCCTAATGTCCTTTTTGAGATTTTGCAGTTGGCCCACAAACAAAAAATCTCTATAGAAACAAACGCAACCATCACTTCCGAAAATATAATGTGTGATTGTGACATGGTTTTGGCAAACAAATCTAAAATAAAAAATGAGACCCAGCCGAAGTCAGACTTGAGTCATGATATGCATAATCTGCAAAATGGTGTCCTTATTATACATGTGCATATATACAAACAAATATGCCAATGTATAAGACGAACAGGTATCCCCAATAAAAAATAATAAAGGATGCATCAAGGGTCGGCACCGCAAGTTTCATCGCCCAGGGTTCCTGTTTGAGCGCCAACGAACTTTGAAGACAAGACTTTATCACTTGTGTCGCTTCACCTGGCTGACAGCAAGTTCCACTGGAGCAGGCGTCGCCATAGCCCAAGATGGCAATCCCCCAAAAACAACAAAAAAATCAACCAAGTATATCCAAGTATGACCAAGTAGAGTCCCACTAAATTTGGGATATATTGTGTTTGATATGTTTTTCGTGGCGACTGACTGTACTTGATTGATCTTCTTGGGAAACAATGGTTTCAACACATGTCAAAGATATGGGTCAGTTGGACCATGATCCAAGTTAGGATTGGATGATTTCAACCACCCAATGATCTACCAAAACAATCCAAAACATGGGAGATGATCCCATCACTGGTAATTTGAACCATCATCCGAAGTAGGAACGGAAATAAATACATTGTTTTTGACGCCGCTCAAGAAAATACTGGGCCCCAGGGTTGTTTTGCCTGCTTGAAAACACAAGCTCCCAACATTCTCATTGATAAACGCCCTTCCATTTCTTCCTGGCAGAACCCAGCGTTTGTTTTCAAAATCCCAAGAAATGTTGCTAAAGTCCACATGTGTCACACCAGTACAGCGTGGATGCGTCAAAACCCAGCATTACTTATGAACAGAGCGGGTAAATACATTTTAGTTGCCACGCAAATATCGCATTGGCCCATAGCTAGTTCTGAAGATATATATATGTGTGTGTGTATATATAAATAATATATATATATATATTAATAATTTCCTAAATTGGGGCACCCTCAAGTCACCATGGGTTTTAGCACTGGTACCACCCGTTTTCAGAAACCTCCATATATGTTTTTGCCCCGCCTGTCAGGTGAGGGTTGTTAGATTTTATGTCAGCCGGTCCTCCGCCTCCTCGCCCGCTTCCTCCGCCGGACCTCAACTGCAAGCGCTAGATCGCAGCGTTCCCCGCCCGGCCCGAACAGCAAGCTCAGGATCATTCCCCGCCGGACCTCAACCGCGAGCTCCGGATCAGAGTGTTCCCTGCCGCAAAGAATCTCCGAAGATAGGCCAGATAGAATGCCAGAAAGAATGTCAGAAAATGTGTCAGAGAGAATGCCAGAAAGAATGTCAGAATATATGCCAGAAAGTATGTCAGATTAGATGCCAGACAGAATGGCAAAAAAATGTCAGAGTATTTGCCAAAAAGAATGACTTCCAGATGGTATGTCAGAAACTGTTACTATGTCAGAATAATGGATCAGGGTGGGGATCACTCGAAGAAAATAATTTCTATACCTAGAAATATCTAGGGCATTTGGCCCTAGTTCTCAACAATATTCATAGCTAGAATGTGGGCCCCCACAGTTAAGTTGATTTATAATCCCCAGTAATTATAGTTACCAGTGGTGCCGCACAAGGCGGTGGCGGAAGTTTCAAAAATAGGAAACTTATAGGAGAGGTTGGTTGTTGTGAGTCATGGATGGCAGAGCGAAGCCAATGATGGACCGACAGGTGGTTGAGGTCTCCTCTCTTTATCTCTTTCTCTGACTATCTAGCTATCTAGCTATTCATCTATCTATCTATCTATCTAACTCTCTATCGATCGATCTATCTATCTATCTAGCTAGCTAGCTAGCTATCTAGCTATCTAGCTATCTAGCTATCTAGCTATCTAGCTATCTAGCTATCTAGCTATCTAGCTGTCTAGCTATCTAGCTATCTAGCTATCTAGCTATCTATCTATCTACCTATCTATCTACCCTATCTATCTACCTATCTGTCTATCTGTCTATCTGTCTATCTATCTGTCTATCTATCTATCTACCTATCTATCTACCTATCTATCTATCTATCTATCTTTCTATCTATCTATCTATCTACCTATCTATCTATCTATCTAGCTATCTATCGATCTATCTACCTATCTACCTATCTACCTATCTATCTATCTATCGTTCTTTCTATCTATCTATCTTTCTATCTATCTATCTATCTATTTATCTATCTATCTATCTACCTATCTATCTATCATCCAATCTATCAATCTATCAATCTATCAATCTCTCAATCTCTCAATCTATCAATGTATCAATCTATCAATCTATCTATCTATCTATTTATTTATCTATCTATCTACCTATCTATCTATCTATCTATATGTCTATCTATCTATCTATCTGTCTATCTATCTATCTGTCTGTCTGTCTATCTATCTATCTATTTACCAATCTATCTAGCTAGCTGTCTATCTATGCATCTATCTGTCTATCTATCAAGCTGTCTATCTACTATCTGACCTGCTCAGCAGACCAAACGACATCGGTACCAAACTTAACATCTGCAACTAAGAAATCTCAAAAAGGTCACGAATGAGGATGACACCGTGCCGTGGGAGACCTCATCATTCAAGCAAATCCCTCCGACGTGTCTCGCGCATGGTTCCTGAACGGCCTTTTTTTCCTAGCGGCAACGGCCAAAAGTCTTCCGACATGTTGCTTTGCTAGAATGTGACATCGTGCCGTCAGAAAAGACAGACAAGACCACGTGCAACGAACAACGGATGTTGATGCGCCATCGTGCCGTCAGAAAAAACACAACTATCTAGATAGCCATCTATCCATCTATTATATCTATTGAACTATCTATCTATCGATCTATCGATCGATCTATCTATCTATCCACCTGTCTATCTATCTATCTCTCTCTCTCTCTGTCTGTCTATCTATCTACCTGTCTATCTGCCAGCTTGAAAAACCAAGCTATTGTGCGAGACTTCCTCATTTTTCGAAGTTGACAACACCAAAAACGCAGCAATTCTGCGAGACTTCTTCATGTTTTGAACTTAACAACATCCAAAACGAAGCAATTCTGGGAGACTTCTTCAATTTTTGAATTTGACAACATCAAAAACAAAGCAAATCTGCGAGACTTCCTTCAAAAATGGAAAGTTGAGTGCAGAGCTGACAGCCTCGTACCAATGCGTTTTGCGATTTTTCCAGTCCACCTGTCTAAAGTACTGCGCCTGCCACGCAAAATAGTGATGCCAGGTCATACGAAGTGCTGCACCTGTCACGCAAAATCATCTTAGCAAACCTGCACATCTGATACTCCAAAATGCAACCCCTCTCAGGAAATCAGCACCCTGACCTCCTAACATCTCTGATGAACATATCTTTTGTACTGCGCCTGCCACGCGAAATGCATCTTTGCAGATCCTCTTCAAATGTCCCACGCTCGCCATCGTTTGTGGAAATGCTACAAAACCCTCACGATTTTGCTCACTTTTGAGAAGGTGCACAATCCCTTGCCCCTGCCACGCGAAAGCACATCTGAACGTCCAAAAGTGCTCCGTACCCGTCAGTTTTTTGCACTTTTGACTTCGAAATGTGCGTCGCGCCACAACGGCGTGCACTTTTTCGACATCGCAACTTCTAAAAGTGGTCCGAGCATGGTGTGTTTTGTACGTTTTGACTTCAAAATGTGCTTCGCGCCACAATGGCCTGCACTTTTTCGACATCGCAACTTCTAAAAGTGGTCCGTGCAATTTTTCATCTCTCATCTGGCCAGATGGCTCCGCACCCGCCGCTTTAGCGAGCCTACTTTTCGACTCTCCGGAGCCACAAATCATTGGAAAAACACAGTGTTTCGCGACTTTCCTACCTTTTCGCGCATCTGCGTCTTCTTTCTTCTGATTCTTTCTCTTCTCTGATCTTCTCTCTTCTACTCTTCTCTTCTCTCTGACTCTTCCCATCTCTGCTTTTCATCTGTCCATACTGTCGGAAGTTTGACTTCTAAACTTCCTTCGATAAGTGCATAAACCAGAATTGTTGGAGTTATTAACAATCTTAGCTATCGAACCTCGGGGGCTCCACTTTGTACTAGGTTTGTCCTCGAGCCTCGTGTGGGTTCCCCTGACAGGGACAACTGGTCACCCTCGATGCGAGGCAAGGTCTCGTTGGCAGTTGCCTGGTTGCCGCGTTGCGAGTGACATAAATAGATGTTTCCTAAAATGTTGGTACCCCAATAGCTGGATTGTTTATAAGGGAAAACCCTATTAAATGTGGATGATGTGGGGGTACCCCCATGACTATTGAAACCCCAATGCCCAGATAGAAATTTGTCAATTTCTACGAGAAAATCATGGTGCATTCCACTTTAAAAACCATCTTTTTGGGCTTAGTTTGGCGCCAACTAAACCTGGACCTTCAAAAGTACCTGAAATTTCTGTGCAATTCAAATTTGTAATTTCCGCCGACCCCGGCCGACGGCAAGGGGGAGCGCGTCAGGGCAGAGAGGTTTTGAAGCCAGCAGCAGTAGCATCAGCAGGAACAGACAGGTCCTTGCGCCAAAACAGCAGCAGCTGCAGCAGCCAGCAGTGAGCGGCCAGTCGGCTAGCAGCAGCATAGCCAGTAGCCAGCAGCCAGCAGCAGCCAGCAGCCAGCAGGCAGCAGGGAGCCAGTAGTCAGCAGCCAGGCCAGCAGCCAGTAGTCAGCAGCGGCCAGTCCTTTAGGGCCATGCTGCTTTGCTGCCGGCACGTGTTTTGCATGCGTTCGCTAAAGCAAGTTTTAGCAGCGGCCAGTCAGAAGGCACCAAGCCAGCAGCCAGCAGGTAGAAGCCAGCAGGTAGCAGCCAGCAGCCAGTCCAGCAGCAGCCAGCAGCTCTTAAAAAGATGGAGAACACAATATCTTTTTTTTGAATTTTAGAAGGGACGTTCCGGCCCCGGGAAATGCATTTTGGACTCGGTTCGTCCTTTAGGGCCATGCTGTTTTGCTGCCGGGAAGTGTTTCGCAGGCGTTCGCCGAAGCAAAAGTTTAGCCGCAGCAGCGGCAAGAGCAGTGGCAGTGGCAGTAGCAGCGAGTCCGGCCCCGGGAAATGCATTTTGGACTTGGTTCGTCCTTTAGGGCCATAGCGTTTTGCTGCCGGGAGGTGTTTTGCACGCGTTCGCCTAGGCAAGTTTAGCCGCAGCAGCAGCAAGAGCAGCGGCAGCAAGAAGTCCAGCAGCAAGAAGTCCAGCAGCAGCAGAAGCATTAAGAGCAGCGGCAGCAGATAACAGCCAGCTAGCAGCAGCCAGCAGCTCTTAAAAAGGTGGAAAAAATGATATGATATTTTTGTAAGATTTCAGAAGGGACGTTCCGGCCCCGGGAAATGGATTTTGGACTCGGTTCGTCCTTTAGGGCCATGCTGCTTTGCTGCCGGGAGGTGTTTCGCTGTCGTTCGCCAAAGCAACCAGGCCGTAGGCTGCAATTCTCCTACCCATTTCGTTGCTCTAGTGACTCTGTGTTTTTCGTCCATGTCAACAACCTGACTGGGTGGTTTTCTCTCCAAGAATTTGCTCCATCTCTTTTCTGCTAGCTCTAGACACCTGTGCTCCCGAGATTAACCCGGATTTCAACTGCGAACGCTCAACTGGAGGACTCTCAAGTGCTGCTCCTGTCATGGTAGAGTGATCACAACGAATGGATCAGCGAGAGGTTGCAATGAACTGGTCGATCGTCTTATGGGATCCTGAACCTCCAGACTGATGGCATTCATTGCCGTGATTGCAATCACCGTCTGTTGAGATAGGCAACAGAATAGAATGATCTGATACAATACAGGTCAAAGTTAGCTACTTCACACTGAGTCAATGGATTGGCTTACAGGCAAATTCACAGGAAAAGCCTCGTATTTAATGGGACAATCTATGGTTGCCTGTAAACATTACCTTAAACCAAACCATTCCTTATGACCGTTTCTCCATGACCAACAAATTCATTTCTCAGTTATTTTCATGACACCAGCCTGCCATGCTCAAAAAGCATATGACTCTAATCTGAAAGCAGGCCCTCTTTCACCTTGCCCGGCTCTTGCAGGGAGGACCGCGACCTGCGCACACGGTTTGTTACAATGACTCCGCTAAACAGCTACTGGAGTTACATTCGCGATGACTGTGTTAGAAATGGAGTCACCGACAATCCTTATGACTCATGGATCACCCACGCATCGCACCTGGCAAGGGCATATCCAAACAGACCTCCGGGATGATGCTTTAACACACACCCCTACTCCTCACAAACACTGCTGCAACTGATCACAAACCACTGCTCATTGCCTCCACTTCCATCCGAGGATCTGCTGTTGCTGGATCCACCAGCACAACTCGAACATCGCTATCCTGCTTGGTCAACAACGCCAAGTGCTGTGACATATCTGCAACAAAAATTACCTGTTCCCAAAACCCTTACTGGTCTCCCATTTCGCCAACGATCCACCACACACGCCTCCTCATATTTGTCCGAATCATCGAAGACCTGCCACGGCCGCGAGTCACCATCCACGGAAGCTCCGCTACGTCCTGCACAAGAAAACAAAGAAACACGTTTCCGTTATGACTGCCCGAAGTGCACGTTGCTCTCCTTCGCTTTTGCGAACTCGCCTTTATGTTCCACACAGGGAGCGATCCTACCACACAACAGAAAGCATGCTTCAACACACTCATCTCGGCTTCAACATGCTGCACGATGCATCACAATGCCTGTTAACTCTGCCATGCCTCCAGAACCGTTCCACTTGATTGAACACGATATCCGTTTTCTGGAAAACCGGCCGTCCTCCACTGACAGTATCCTGCCACCACTGCGGAACCAGTGCTGAAGCACTGACAGACACACTCCCTACAGTTAATCCGAAATCATCAAACCTGGGCTCTTCCACACATTTTCCCCCCCAAAAAGCTGTGTGTGCACATATACAAATATCACTTGTGCTCTTTCCGATGCATGCTTATGTGGGATCCTATCCATCTATCTATCTATCTATTTATTTCTCTATCTCTCTAAACACATATACAACACTCTGTTGGGCTGAGACACGTATACAGCACTCTGTTGCGCTGAGATCATCGCTCAACAGCCAAACACACCCGCCTGCATCTCGATATAGAGCCCATGAATCCGATTTGTCTTCAGAGGCAGCCCCAACCGCACTTTGTTACCACCTGCTACACTCGACTCACATCTTCCATAGCATGGGTCCGTTCAAAAACACTATGCCAGGGTATGATTGCCATAGAAGCCAACAAACATGTTTAAGCTCCCAGACATACGCTTCTTCATGTCACGGCCATGCACAAGTAGCGCACGTAGAGGCCTGCAAGCATCTGCCACACACGATGTGCGCCAGTCTTACACAAAGTGACAGAACATCCCTACTATGCACACTGCACCGATGCCTCGACGCCTGACGAGCAAACAAGTTGTAGGCGTAATACACGGAGACACGACGCCTGCTGGCTCATCATCAGAAACTCTGCACATTCGCATACCACGGCTTAGCACTGCATGCGCACGTCACGCATGTGCCAGCTCTGGCCTCTGGAAGTTCGGCGAGATATCTCCCTGACCAATTAGCATCATCGAGTATGTTACCACTGTCAACACAGTATGACCACAGCACGCCCAGAACTTCCGCTGCCACACGACCCAGCCTCCTGCTTGTCATCAGCTGGCACCTCCTTCCATATTGCACAACCCAAGGTGATGTGCTGTCATATAGCACAGTACTGAAGGTTTCGAACTTTGACTCCACAACGAATTAGCGAAAGTCTGCGTCATCACGCAAATTCCACCCGGTCTGGACGTATCTTGCATGCACAGTAACCAACCACTGTATACAGAAAGAGAAATCTCACTACGCGTCCTTTCGCTTCCCCGAACTGCTTGATCCGCTGCCAGGCTCCTTCAAGACAACGGTACAACGCTTGCACAGTGACCGACATTCGTTCGCGAATCAAACTCCACTTTTCACTAAATGTGACACCTACAAAGTCACAATAAGCGGCCAAACCAGCCCTGCCTTCCTCCACTGCTTCTTCCAGCAGCTTTTGATAGTATTGCGCTTTATCCAGCGCAGTTCTCAACTGGTTCTGCATCTCCAACTGTGACGCCTACGACGCCATATGAAACCGTATTTCACTACCCTAGCTTTCCCGGCTCAGCACCAAACTCTTTGCATGACGAATCCCACAGCATGGAACCAAACCAAGCTACAATCAGAACACTAACACTTCCACTCCCCAGCTTAGCTATGTGCAGCCAGCCTTCTGTCGTTTCTCGACCAACTGACGGGCTTCAAGCGCTGCCCTAAGGCCAACCTCTCTCTTCTGTTCCCTGTGCCACAACCTCATTCATAACACAAAAACTTGATTCTCAGAGACTGGAACAGAAACTAATACTTGAAAACATTGGTCATGTGTTAGGAATTGTGACACGCTTGGTCGATGGATTGTTTTTTCCAGGTAATTTGGGTGCGGGCTCTAGGTGACGTCATGCATGATACTATGATACTGTAAAGATGCTCGAGCTTTCATGAAAAAGACTTTTTTCATTACACATGCTACGACAGAATAGCAAACTAAGAAGTCGCTTTTCTTCCCGAAAGATTGCATCGATAGTCCAGGGTAGAGTGGCATTCCAAGTAAATATGAATGCGTCCAATCATGGGGAACGGATTCCTATTCTACAACTTGATTGGGTATTAGTGTCTATGTTAAGTTGGGTGAGTATTATTCGGGGACAGGTTACAATTCGTGTTGTTTTCGTTGCGGCAGGTGGCCCAACATCCTCCCACATAAGACAGACGAAGACACTCCTCACGCTCCTTCCCTACTTGCCTCAATGGTACGAGCAGGCCCTCGACACATCTTCAACACTGCTTCTGGCACAAGCCACATTCGAATTATGATTACCGAGATGCTCTACCACTGCAAAACATGGGACACACATATAAGAGGAATAACGTCAACCGTGACCCGAGTCACTGCTTGTCTGCTTGGATGGTTGCATCGATGCATTTTTTGTACCTGGCTCAAAACCAGAAACGGATTTCTACCCAAAGGTTCCAAGAAAAACACTCTACTGAGCAGAACCACTGCCTGTCCCCTTTCGAGCCCACAGTGATGGAACCGAAAACTCTACTCGATAGGGCACACAACTTTCGACATGCCATGCCTAATCTTGTGAAAAAAAAACAGCAGCCCCAATATCCTGAACAGTCCAGACTACGAAAATTAAATGTAGCTCGCCACTTACATCATATACACGTGATCTAAGGCAAGGTCGCCAATGACATTGGAATGATTGAAATAAACATATGCCCAGTCAGCGCAACTACTGGCCACGACACCTTTCGCATTTCTTTTTCGCAAACCTCAAGAGCGCAAGGCCCCAAAAGCACAAGAAACATTTTCCTTGCTGCTCCGACCATTGCGCACAAGCCACTCCTTTGCTGCGCGAAGATTTGCCTCATCGTGTCTCTTGCACCCCTTTGTAGCAGCAGCAGAAGCAGTAGCTGTAAGAGCAGCGGCAGCAGCTAACAGCCAGCTAGCAGCTCTTAAGAAGGTGGAAAAAATAACATGTTCAAATTTTATTTAATTTATATTGTAGGATTTCAGAAGGGACATTCCGGACCCGGGAAATGGATTTTGGACTCGGTTCGTCCTTTAGGGCCATGCTGTTTTGCTGCCGGGAGGTGTTTCGCAGGCGTTCGCCAAAGCAAGTTTAGCCCATAGGACTTGCCGCATTGGTTTACCCAGGCACCACACAGCCAGCTTTGCATGCTCGAAATTCTCGCAAATCTTGCAGCAGCCCCAAGCCGAAGGGAACGGACGGGTTTAGAGATGGCAGAGTGTTGGCACAGCATTTATATTACCCATTTTGAAGCTTATTGTGAAGATGTCTCAAATAATCTGACAACAAAACCTGGGTCTTACGATGCCCCCAAACAAACCCTGCATTTTACAGAACAACATGGTGTACCTTGATTTTTCAATCTTCCAAGTTCACGAGGTTGGCGATGATTTTTGGTGTTCCAAGATTTGAAACTTGATATTTAAAAATGCTACAGAAAAAAAACGGCGTTCCTGGTCGTTGATTCCGGGGTCGGCGGCAGGAGCGGCAGCCCTTAAGTATAAATTTCGTTGTTGCCAAAACGTACTCTTTTTCGAAAAACAAACGGAAAAACATGTTATTTTAAATGCCCGGGCGAGTTCCACCTACAAAACGCTGAAATTGAAGTGCATAAAGCGCGCAAAAATGTGAAACATGTGCGCAAAAACGTAGACAAGGCACACAAATCCAGAAAAAGGTACAACTACGTTGGATCTGAAAGTGTTGGGGGCATGAGTTCGCACATTTTTGGCGCAAACGTCCTGAAATTTGAGGTAGCGCAGAAATTTGTTGAAGCGTACCTGACATTTCACGTGCCCAAAAATTGTGCTACAAATGAAGGTCCTGCTACTACTATTTGAAGATTACAATATTTTGATATATATTTGGCAGTATTTTACTTGTCTATCTTTTTGTGGGGATTGCTATAGAGTGAATATTACATATGTTCCCAGTTAGTGGTTGCGTCCCAGTTCGCTTGGCCTATTGAAACTATTGCTGGCTCGTGGTTGACCTACCCCTTTGAAAAATATGAAAGTCACTTGGGGTTACTATTCCCAATATATGGAACAATAAAAGCCATGTTCCAAACCACCAACCAGTTTAATATGATCATCAGCGCCATGGTTTTTCAAAATCAATCAGGTCATTGTTTCCAATCAAGGTCATTGATGGTTAAACATAAGTATTTTGCGTTTTCACATGGGCGAAAAACGCGAAAATCGGCCTGAACTTTCTAGCTACATTCCTCACCAGTTAAACAAATAACATACTGCAACCGGTACCGGCTATGGTAAATCCGAGGCTTATACAACCCCTTCATATTGGGGATAGTTATGATAGTTTAATATTACCCCTACGACATTGGTATCACTTGTTCCGGGTCAACATCCGACGCGAAACGAAAAATCGGAGGCCTGTGCTCGAGCATCCGCCTCCTGACACGAACCACGCAGGTGCTCGATAGCGATTTGCTTGAGGAAAGCCACACAATAACATATAGTCCCCATACAGGGGTTGGTAAATGTCCTAATTTTTCACATCACCCAAGTATTTTTTGGATATGCAGCTTCATATAATCTCCAACAAATACGTTGTCAAGTGATGTTCAAAATCTCCCAAATGGGACATAAAAACCAAGCCCTGCTATAGATTCCCCATTTCAGCGGGTTGGAGTAACCCCTATCAATATTGGCTGATATTGGCTATAGGCTATATCATACTATTTTTATCATTTTATTGTGTGACATTGTGTGTAAAACATTATAAAACCCACTGTTTGTTGCTGAAATCCAACTGTTTGCTGCTTATGTCAATTTGATCCCTGATGTTCATTGGTGAAAAACACCAATGTTTCCATATTTTCCTGCTTGGCCACCCGGCTTCCCATCCAAATTTTGGTCGGTCATCCTCATGTTCCATAGTCAAACTATCCCATTTTCATGATTTTCATGGATGAGAAAAAAATCTCTTCCTGCTTCACTTCCCATTTTCAACATGTTTTTTTTCTTCACCGCCCCCATTTTTCCAAGGGTTGAACTCCGTTGACCTCCCTTGGTTGCGCGGCTTCGCCCGCCGGCCCAAGATCCCGTTCTCCTCGGAGACGGATTCTTGGGCCGGTTCCAGCAACTTCTCCTCCAGCCTCGGCAGTGATCGCTGATGAAATTGATGTGTTTTATCGAAATATCTTACTTGGTGGTTCATCCCACTTAGTAAGCGGGTTAGTTCACCCCAGTTTTTTGAGTGGATTAACCCTACTTATCCCATTTATAACTGGGGTTATAACCCACTTACTAAGTGGGATGAACCACCAAGTACCCTCTGATTATTTAACATAGCCATGGTATAGATGGCCCATTTATAGATGGTTTACCGAACTTAAAAATGGTGATTTTCCATGGCTATGTTAAATAGCCAGATGGTAAATATCTTATATGTATTATAGGTGTACACATTAAGATGTCTATTCTAGAAATATCATGTGATACCGTTATACATAAACATGTTGTTCATATATCCGTATATACACATGAAGATTATTATTCTTATTATATATAATATCTATGTACAATTATGTACATATACGAGTACAATAGATCAATAGAGGACCGGACATCAAAAAAACGCGTGGCGTCAGCACCACTGGGTGGCCCCAACTGCCGCAAATCATCTATGGAGGCCTGGCCGAACGCTGATATCAATGCCATCCATGCAGGGTGGGTAAAACAATGCCATGTTTACCACCCATGACTGGGAATGGTAAACATACCATCTATAAACATGGTGATGACTGGAAGATGGTTGATGTTTCACCCACATGAATATGATAATATGGTTGTTCAAAGGTGTTTTTGGATGCAAATCAATGTAAATCATCCATGGCAATTTTTTCGTTGCAACCTTGGACCATTTCCATTGATTTTTGAGCATCCACTCTCATTGTGATCACGGCAACTCTTCGATACTCGCTCAAAGATTGTTAGAAGCGAAGCCTTCCGAGTCCAAGCAACAATTAGTTGCTTGTGCCGAGCTTACATCTAAGTTCTTCTACATTTTAGCTTGAAACAAACAAGTGTACAAGTCACAACCACTTCAAGCATTTGTGCCAATGTGCATCAACAAAATATTCAGTTTGTTCATGAAGCCAAGTCCGACTGCAGCTAGAAACCAGGCCCCAAAGCCACAAACACCCAACAGTTTGGGTCAAAACCTATGGAATTCCCCGGTACCAACACCAGAATAGCTGGGATTTATGGATGTTCATTTCTCCTCTCCAGATCTAGCCTCCAAACATCTACAACGAACAGTTTCCGCTCCAAGGTCCCCCGACAAATCCAGTTCTGCGCGCAAATGCCGCCTTCTGTGGGCAAACTCTTGGGGGAAAAACATGTATCTCCAAGAAGGGACTTTTCAGTTGGGGGGTCAAGATCTGGGCACCAATGAATCTGCAAATTGAGTCAGCTTTACCCCATCAGTTGCCTTAGCCGGAACCTAATTGGAGTTGTAGGGATGAACATGTGCCAGAAATCATTCACAACAAGTCAGTGAGAATGGAACTGGATGAACGTTGTAAAGGTTTGAAACTACACAACGCTTAATGATTCTCATGGACAGTCCTCGTATTTGTAGCACTATATTTACTACCTTTGTATATCGTATATAGTATATGCGCATATACAATTCGTGTCAGTGCATGTCACTCACCGCCTCCGACGCCAAACGATGAAAGACCATGGCGCGATGGGCGGTCTGATATGTTTTTTATTATTTGCATCATTCGCACATGTGTCACATGACTAGTTTCATATGATGTTGCACATGTAAATGGAAAAAATGTTGAGATTCCTGATACAACATGAAATAGCCACTGGATTCTGCTGAACCACCACTTAAAATGGATTTTTCAGTGTGAAACAAGCGTTTGAAAACGCCAGGAACATCCGAAAAACCTGGGTCCCCTGGAGTCAAAGTCAGGCTGCCTCTGAAGAGGCAAAAACCGATCTCACTAGCAGAAATGAAAGTGTAAGAGTTGACAATGTGCCTAAAACAAGCTAAAATATTATATGTATATATATATATATGTGACCTAGTAGTATGTATATATATATATGTATTATATCTTATGATAATATTAGATACCCAAATCATAAGTGTGTCATGATATAATGTGTGATGATATTGCCAATCATATGATGATAACATAATATCAAAAGTTGTATGATATCAAAATGATGGTTATCAACAAGTTATCCTAGTATGACAAACAACTGTTGATAATTATTGCTAACATGGTTTGATGATATTGCTAAGCAATATGATGATATGATTTTGCAAAACAAAGTACCCCAAAATTCATGGTGTATCAACATTTTCCCCATTCAAATAGCAACTTGTGATTATATATAATATATTATACTCCATTTTCAGACACACCCATATCGGATATCATACCTTTGTGCAAACAACCAACACATCATCAAAGACATATCCAAACAGGATGCTGAAGAGCTGGGAGTTGGGCAGATCTTATCATATGGATATCATGATACAATGGAGATTGCTTGTAGGCATATGGTGACTTTAGTACTGTCTTATGGCTATTGGATGATTATTTTATGGGTATGTTGTGGCTATTTTGGGGCTATTTGATATCTATTGCTGTTCATGGCCATTTCAAGACGAGGTAGTGCGGATGTAATGAGATGATACTAGGACCTAGCATGTTTTAACCAACAATATGATATAGGTCTCTCTAAAAAAACTGAGATTTCGATATCAGGCCAAGTCAATCAATGGGATGCGACTTTGAGGGGGTTCAAATTGGATCCCAATACAAGGCTTCACAACATCAACCCACCGATGGAAGGGTGGGAGTCACCAGATTGTGCCAAGATGTGCCAAGCTTGGCACGTCCGCGAGCTCTTCATTTTTGTCGACTGGCTGCTCTGCCATGCTGGCACTAAAAGGATGCTTCTCAACATGGTAGACCCCACAAATCATCAAAACCCATTGGACAGCCTGGTCAAAGATACATCAAGTGAGATGCTTCGAAAAGGAACCACAACTCCACCGAAAGGCTTAAACCAACATCAGGGATTTGAAGTCCCGATTCTTGAGAAACATCCCTTTTCTACACAGCTGCTCCAACTCAACGAATTATGCAACTGACTCCTGCATCAAATTGTGCATCAAATTCTCATCAAAGTCCTGAACAGGATCAAGCTGGACCAAGTCAAGGGTTTCCGCAGGTCATGAGGGTACCCACAAATCAATACAAATCATCCATTTGATTGTGGGATTTTCCATTCTAAACCACCCATTTTGAGGTACGCCAAGGTAATACATGTCCTGGCAACAACCTAGATCTCAGTCATGGTGGCTCGGCAGTGTCACTAGACAGAATGCTGGTGCCCCTTTCGATAGACGCAATGGGTCAAATCACTCAATTGAAATCTGGTTGGTGGTTTCAACCCCTGTGAAAAATATTAGTCAGTTGGGAATATTATTCCCAATATATGGAAAGTCATAAAAGCCATGTTCCAAACCACCAACCAGTATTGTTTCACCTGAAAAAAAACAACTTGATATCTGTCGACCACAACTTTCCTCAGTTTTAGCAGGTTGTGCATCTTTTTGACTGTGTTTTGGGAATCCACATCATCACACAGTCATTTCATGCCGTTAGATCCAAAAGAAAGGAAAAAAACTCTCCACAGATACATCTACACAGCACACACAATACATATATATATATACATTATACATGTATATTTGATCAAGAGGCCACATGAGAAATCCGCAAGACAATTTTTACACCCATCCCTACGTGCATTCTGGATCTGCAGATGGATACTGTGCCAGGGCATTTGGGGTATGGTCATCCATGATTAATGGTGGTATGACCGTATCCCACAATATGGGTTTAATCATGATCGGTCTGAATCCAATTTTTGAAGCCACTAATACAGTGGAAGAAGCCCCGAAGATGGAAAAAAACAACTAAATCCTAAATTAGTGGCAGCATTGAACTGTTCTATCTTTGTTTTTTGGTTACTTTATACCAAAAATGGTTGACTCTATTGAATCAAACGGAGACGATCCAAAGGCCACAGGCTAAACATTGTTGGTCTCGTCTCCTCACACGCTCGTCTCAAACGGCGAAAGCGACGAGGGGCTTCCTGAACAGCAAACATCACCAGAAACATCTAGAAACCCTGCTGCTTTGGTGCAGGTTGATCTTGCATATAACACCATGGTGAATATAAAACCCTATGATTGTGGCCATATAACAAGACTAGAATGTGCTGGATCTAATCCCCTCTGACAAAATTAAATATACCACCTTGGAACCCCCTGCTCGGTATTGAATGTGTGCGTTTTGGGGCCGATTATTGGGGCTATTATATTAGAGGGATTGGATGTGGTGATACAGTCATACGGTTGAAGTATGTTGAAGTATGGCTTCAAAAAAAGAACTGCACCACGCAAGTGGCCAGATTTGCACCAAAATCCATCGCCAAAACCTGGCTAGGGCTATACCTACTCGCTGCAGTTGGGGTTAATGGATATAACCATGGGATTCTAACCCCCAGAAGTTTATTCCTTACAGCTGTGCTATACAATCACTTAGTTCACTGGAACTGCATCCCAAGTAGGTCAAAACCCTGGCTAAATGGTTGAGGTTCTACCGGTCTCAGCATTGGCATCTGGATTTCTGGGGCGCCCAATCGGATGCGGCGACAGCTTCAATCGGCTGGATCAAGGAAGCACCTTTTTGGGCAGGGTGGGAAGGCCAACCACCAACTGAACATCTAACTGGATGTATGTGTATATATATATACTTGGTGGCTCATCCCACTTAGTAAGTGGGTTAGTTCACCCCAGTTGTAAGTGGATTTACCCTACTTATCCCATTTATAACTGGGGTTATTACCCACTTACTAAGTGGGATGAACCACCAAATATATATATATACATATGATTATATATGTATGCTATATCTAGATAAGTATTGGGAAAAAACAAATCAACTTGAAAAACATGCTTTTTAAGATAATGACCTTTTTACTAACCATGATTTACAATAACTTTGTGGTGACGTCATTGTAATCTATTGTATATATATATATATCCCGCTAAAACCCAACGGTTTAATTGAAAATCACCCAGAAAATCAACAGTGTTCCCGTCATAGATCTTCTATATATAGATTCCATGTTTGACCTCTTTTATTCGACAACTAATACTAAGTTTTGCTGTGTTACAGCTTACCAGTAGTGGTTTCAACCCGGCAAATTTAAGGCGTTCCCAAGTGAAAACAAACTGCGGATCATCATTTCAGTGGATCCATCGGCGATTTCTGCGAGTTGTTGATATGTCTGGTTGCTTACAAGGGAACCGCATTCATTTCATGATCCAATCGTGTAAAAAAACAAGAATTAAATGAATGACATTAAGTCTTTAAGACCTCCAAACAAACATGATTTTGTGGATCGTAGCCGTAGCCCCATAAGCCCCCAAAGATAGACAATTTGAATGACATGGAATCTAGCCACTATATTAGTAGGATGTTATGTTTGGGAATCATTTTACTGGCTGGTGGTTTGAACCCGCTGAAAAATGATGGAGTTCGTCAGTTGGCATGATGACATTGCCAACTGTTTCTGGAAAGTCATAATCCAGCCATGATCCAGTCAGCACCAACCAGGGGAATCATGTTAAGTGGCTGAAATACTCCCATGATACATTACATCACTTAACCACTTAACCAATGGGAGTATTACATCACCACTTCAATGGTTAACCACTTCAACCAGCCATGATCTTGACCAATTACATCACCATAAATGGCTGGTTGATCCTCAAGATCTCAACCATATCTCAACCATGTTTCGACCATATCATCCTGGTGCGGGGGTTAATTACTATGTTTTTTTTTGACAAATATTCATAGGGCCCATCATAAGATATTCATATGGGCCCATCATAAATTAAGGGAAAAATAGGGCCATCATAAATTAAGGGAAAATGGATAGGAACACCCCATATTTCATGTGAAAAACAAAAACATGTTTTCCTGTAGATGTTCCCGTCAATCCAGTGATCATGGTTGGTTGGTTGGTTGGTTGGTTGGTTGGTTGGTTGGTTGGTAAACATCCCTGATTGTTCAAAGTTCACTGCAGCTCAGTCACGACCCGGTGGCCGGCCCAAACTATGCATCTGCCTCAGCATGGGGGAAATCAGTGGGAGAAATGGTGGATTCATATGGATTCATAGGATATATGATAAATCCATATAAATCCAACATGTTTTCGTAATATCAACTGTTTACTAATGGGATTCTGATAATGGATCGGTTGAAGAAGACGACAACTTCTGAAAAGTGGCTGCTTTTCACAGCCAAACGTACAGTATACCTGCAAATTTTCCAACAATTCTGGGACCGTTTGATCTGAATTGGCAATGCTGTGTAGTGGTGTAATTATGAATTTTGATAGATGGGGGTTTCCATAAATGGTGGTACCCCCAAATGGATGGTTTATAATGGAAAATACAATTAATTAAAATTGATGATTTGGGGGTACCCCTATTTCAGGAAACCCCCATATGTCTGTCAACTCAAAAGCAATAACGCCACATTAACAGCAATTGTCCATGTTTTGCCAATGAAACGGTGTCCTACTTGCACGTTTCTAAGCAACCAACGGGAACGGGAGAATGTCACAACAATCAACACGACCGGGAATGGGTATGAATCAGTAGTTTGATCAGATTTGTGCTAGAATCTGGCAACCCTGAATGCAGCGAATCCTCTTTGAAAGAGGTGTTTTGCATGTTTTGCTTCGATACGATGCCCCTTGAGCCAATTTTAAGCCATGTCTTGGAACTGAAATCACCCTTGAAGCGCCGGCATTGTGTAGACATAGTCCCGTTATAATCATAGTCTGCTGGTGATATCCACATATCGTTTTTGCATTTGTTCGTTGGTTCTGTGTCCCTAATCTCAAAGAGAAAACATGAAACGAACCGTCCGAAAGTCCGAAACCAAGTTTCACCAGGTTTGTTTGTAGAGGTTATGGCCAACTAAGACCTTTTTTTCCCCAGCTGGGTGGTGAAATCACTATGGTTTTAGTCATCCCTACCCCAAATCATAGACGCAATGCGTAGGGCTTTGGAAGAGATTCCTCTCGTGATTTGCAGGGGCTATGGAATCTTTTTCTTTCAACTGCACCGAAAAGCCAACCCACCCAAGATTCGCCTCCGTTGCACTGCTCGGACGGAGGCTTCACACCTGCGGTTGGGCGGTGGGTGGTATCAACCTACCACATTCATAGGTGGCTATGGCCAAATGCAATGGAACATGATTTGCGGGTTTTCATGGGGAATGGAATCCAAGCCTGTTTATCAAGAAACCTGGGTTTGTCCGAAACTTTCAGGGAAAACCAACAATTCCAATGGCATAATATGAATATTGTGTATTTTTCGCCAGTGTATTTTTCGCCATTTCAATTGGCCATCGAAGGGGATATAAATGGATATAACCCGCTTTCAGACACACCCACGTGATAGGTGGGTACAAAGGAATCTAACATGATCCTGCCAACAAAAATATGCAAACATCATAACACAGAATGGAATAGCATCATGACAAAGAATGACAGTAACAAACCTATTGCTGACAGCTGAAATGGGACTCCTCGGTACCTTTTAAATCAATTTGCTGGGAGATGGGATGCCGCCAGCAATAATCCCTTCCCCCGAAAATTAAACACCCCCTTAGAAACAATGGTTTAGTGGGAATTTCCACGTAATTGGAACCATTTATGGGGTGTTTAATATTATAGGGATTATTCATGATATTCCGTGTTTCCAGGAATTGTCTCGGACTACGCAAGTCCACCATGCACAATCTGTTCTTTGGAGGGCCAGCAGGGATGGGTTGAATTCTATCTTCCTCAAAGGAACGACTCATCAAATTTGAGCAAAAAGTGCTTACCGTCTGGTAATTTATATAACATAGCTATTGAAAATGACCATTGATTTACCCAGCTAGAAAATGATGATTTTCCATCGTTGTGTAAACGTTTACCAGGCCGGGTAACCACTGAAAGGCGATGTCACCAAATCACTTCAAGTCATCATCCCCCCATGCGGGATGAGCAAAGTCCCCACTGATGTTCCTACCGTGCCGAAAAAATTGAAGTGGCGGCGTCCTTTTAGCAGTGATGCATTGTTCGGTTGGTTTGTAGCCAGTGAGAGGTATGTTGATATTTGTTGTTTATATCAGTCAGGTCCTTCATTGTGACTCAGCATGTGTGTATATATATAATTATATAATAGTATGTATATACATGTCTTGTTGGTTCAAATGTCCTGTGCATGTGCACCAAAAAATGTTGGTCTGAAATTTGGAATTAAGGTCCCCAAAAAGTCACTAATTCCCAAACACCCCCAACAAAGTTGCTAGCCAGCACAGCACAATCCCCAACCACAACCTGTGACAGTACCAATCTTCTTCTGGAACAGCATCCAAATCAACGCAGAAGGTGTGGTACCTGTTGGCAGCGAAAGTATCACGAAGATTCCTTGAAGGCAGAGAATCAACAGCAAAACCATGCACAACTGGAAATGTTTTTTGCATCTATTTTCTTTTGTATGTATATATATATACATAAAATCATAAATCATACATGTATATTATATGTAGATGCTGTAAAAAAACACTCGCCAACGCTACAACCAGGCCCCAACATTTTTTGTGTGGTCTCCGCTTCAGGATGATCGAAAAAGCCACCCTTTGCCATAGGGAAAACATCATGGGTATCCCAGAAAATCCCGTGGAAAACATCATCATCAAACTTTGCCCATATCAAAATCACCACATTTTTTTGAGGAGTACCCTCTGGTAAACGTTTACATAACTATAGAAAATCACCATGTTCAATGGGAAAATCTACTATTTCTATGGTCATTTTCAATAGCAAACTGTTCCCATTTTCAAAAACCACTTATAGTTATGTTAAATATGACCATTTATAGTGGATTTAGCTATGTTAAATATCAATTCCCATTTTCAATAGCTATGTTAAATATGACCATTTTCAAAAACACACCCACAAAAGGAGATGGTTGGTCATATTCCATTGTTATCACCATGATATACCGATATGCCCAGCAAATCTCATCATCAAAGGCTTGGGCCTAGTTAGTTTTACCCTGGCTATGACTGACATAGCCATGGAAAGATCCACCCATTTTTTGCATTTCTAACAGGTAAATCATCTATTTCTATGGAAAATCACCATTTTTAATAGGAAAATCATCTATTTTTAATAGGTAAACCATCTATTTCGATTAGGGCCATCTATACCATGGCTATGTTAGTATAAACAGATGGTACCATTCAAAAATCCCACGAAATCACCACAGAACTGGCCATTAGCCGTTCGCGCACCCATCGTTACAGTGATCGCAGAGCAGCAAGACGTCCGCATCTTCGTCGCTGCCACAAACCTGCCCCAGGAATCGTAGGCGTAAGTGGGGAGTGTTGGAACCTGGGATGAACATGAATCTGTTATATCCCATGTTTACTGTCAATTGATTCCTAAACATATGTAAACTCACAGTTATGTGGATAGTAAGTGGGATGAAATGTGAACATATTGTGAACATGTATATTCAAATGTAATTCTGATTGCTACTATTAAATACTATTAACAGTTTTCTCAATGAGATGCACGAATCGGTGGGGGGAAAAATCCGCTATTTGCTGCTTGGAACACCCAAGAATAGCCTGGGGATATCTATACCCAAGAATGGGGACATTGGACATCACCAACAACTGGCTGGTGCTCGTGGCATGTATATGTGATCCGTATAGCTTTATTGGTACATACAATGTGGGGCCCCTCAGTGATGTGAACGTTGGCTTATAAGCCCCAGCAACTAGTTCGTTATAAGTACCATAAACCATAATGAAATTGGAGTTATGTGAACCCCAACATAGCTATCAAATCCAGGGGGCCCCACTTTGATATTGATAGAGATGCACATGTGAAGGTCTGAAGGGTCTGGGATCCCCTATGACATTTACCTATAACATCTACTTGGACCCTCCAAATACACCCCCCCAAAAATGTTAAAGTACCAAGATTATTGGGTAAAACACCATTTTGAAGGGTATGTACATCCAAATCGCTGATAATTTTTGGTTCTGTGGTGAAAGAAGGTGTCCAATCTTATTTGTTAACCAATGAAGATTTCTCCCTGGACAACGAGGCCCTTTCTCAGCTATCTATAGAGATACAACCCCATTAGCCCACAGTCACAGGAATCATATTCATGTTTAATCAGTTTAATCTCATTTTGGTGGAACCATCATTTTTTCAAAAAAACACAACAACAGAACCCCAAAATTGGTGTGTGGTTTTATTCAAAATGACCAGCCACCCTTTCAGGTGTGTCTGAAAATGGGGTCTCCTTCCTGGATACTTGGGGCACTCCAACGACGAAAGGAGCCATACCCGTGGTAGTGTTGAAAACCCGATGCGTGTCGTTGAAAACTGGGTGATGAAAACAGGGATTTTTCGATCAGCAAGAGTTTTGATCCACTGCTCACTAGTGGTTTACGTCACAGTCAAATCCACACTGGTGTCGAAAAAACATCATTTATCAGTGATATATCCTCTTTTCCAATGGCTAATAATGGCCATAAAACCCCAATCTTTGCATCAAATCCAATCACACTGGTGTCAAAGAACCATCATTTATCAGTATTTATCAGTGATAGATCCTCATTTCCAATGGTTCCAATGGCAATGAAACCCTATAAAAACCCTAATCTTTGCTCATCAGCCGGCGCCCTGCCACACGGCCGAAAAAAAAAAAAAAAACAATCGCCGCCGATTCACCTGGCATCGGATGTCTGGCTCGGCCTCGGAGAGGTGAAGCAACATAGGCATGCAGTATACGGTACATGGCCTGACAACCATATAATATATGTTAGAATATATATATAATATTATTTGTAACATATTATATAAATTCAGAAATAACTTCATATAATGACATGATATAACATGATAATAAATAAACACATATACAGTATGTATATATATATATATATAAATGTATATATAAATATCAATCACTATTAACGTATTATAATATATATTGCTTATATAGGATATATTATGATATATTCGACCATATTTGTATGCAAGTACGAACATGTGTGTATAATGATGTATATATGATATATGACGCCGAACTGGGGACCTCAATCAATTTAAAGATTTTAAGAAGCTCATACAAGTTTTAAAGCACATGCTGATTCTCAGGTGACAATCGAATATCTCAATAAAGGTCACCGTGGAGTCCCATGAAGGCTCCCTTCTTGCAGCACCAATCCAGCTGCCGCAGCCTTTCGCCATGCGCAACTGTCTCCGAATCGCCAGCTCAAGGGCTGTGAAAAGCTCACACAAAAGTTGTTGCACCCACATGTGCAGTCATATTTTTGCCTGCCAGATCTGCCAGATGCTAAGTCAGGCAATCAACAATTTCACCATGGCCTTGAGAGGCTGCCACGTTTTTAGAGGCGTTGCACCCTCATCTGACCTCTTGTTCTTGCCGGTGCCATGTTGAACTAAGCAGCGGTTCACAATTTCAATGTGGCCGTTTGCAGCTGCCTTGAACAGAGGTGTTGCTTTATGTTGATCCGTCATGTTCTTGTCTGCCCCATGTTGAATCAAGAGGCGGACAATTTCAATGTGGCCATGTTGAGCTGCCACCTGCAGAGGTGCTGTTTATTTTGAGAGCTCTTGTTTTTGGCCGCGTCAATCAAGAATCGAACAATGTCAATATGGCCGTTGTAGGCTGCCACGTTTTTAGAGGTGTTGCCCTCTCATCTGCGCTTTTGTTCTTGTCGGCGCCATGCTGAACGAAGAAGCGACCAATTTCAGTATAGTTGTTTGAGGCTGCTGCATACAATGGTGTTATGCCATTTTTGGCAGCCATGTGCTTATCTGCGCCATTTTTAATCAAGAAACAACCTGCTTCCAGTTGACCCGAATTGGCTTCTATGCTGAGTGGCGTGCAACCTTCGTTGCATGGTGCATCCTTGTCACCAGCTGCTTCGCTGCCAAAGCTTGCAGCACAGTGGAGGCTGCACATGCCTGTTCCACTCCATCCATCAAAAGAATCAAAGAATTTGGGTCCCGTGGCTCAAGCCATATTTGCAGCATTGAATGGCACTTGAATGTCATCTTCCCGACAGGCTGCCAGCAGTTTCTCCTCTGCGTCAACATCAGGTGGCAAGAACTGCAAGAAGACCAGCTGCACCTTCTGAGGACTCAAAGTTCGTCGCCATCGATCTGGCCATCTTCCAGAATTAGTCTCTGCTGAAATCTGGACACTCCAATGATGGAGGTAAGATGGTCTTTCAGCACGTGCTGGCTTGCCATCTACGTCTTCAATGTTCAACGTGGCCATGTCTTCCCCGGACAGGGCTGACACAAAATGCAACATGGGAGCTGTTGGATTCAAAAGAACATTGCATTTGAAAGTTTGAACCAAATTGTCCTGTGCAAGATCCGACAACTAGGCTTCGCTTGTTGGGTGATTGGAAATTGAGGTCTAATCTCATGATGTCCCACTTAAAGCGATGACAGAATGAAAGGGATATGGTGCGGTATCTATGACCAAAGATAGAGAATAAAGATACGTGGTATGAGAATATGTTGAGGGCACACCGAAAATGCTAGCGAAATTTGAAACGGCGCACATTTTGGACCTCTTGGACAGGATGACTCACATGAGCAGCTTCAATTGGGATAAGAAGTTAAGGCACCTGGCCACTCCTCACCAGCCAAATTCGGCAAACTTTGTGGTTGGTTGATACCACCCATGCATGGTCACATTGGGGATGATGGTCATATTGGGCTTACCACACTATCAAAATCGACATGGATATGTGTCATATTCCGGATTCATTCAGGCAGTGGAAGCGTCCTTTACTTTGCTTCCAGCATCACTCTGAAGTATTTTTCAAAAACAATCTGCAAAACAACCCTGGTCTTCCTGAAGCTTCAGCTGCAAAGTCGAACCAACGGTCTTTCAACGCTCTTTTTCTTTGCAGCGTCAATCTGCTCCCTGACGTTTCTTCAACAACATCTCCAAGTCGTCCGCCAGCTCGGGACTTAGATTGTTGTACCTCAGTTGGGATGGCTGGATGCAGCTTGAACCTCTGATAAAGAATTTTCCAGAAGTGTCCATCTATCCTGTTCTATCCCCAGTTTCCTTCTTGCCTCTTGCGTTGGTCAATGGATTGATTTTATAAGGACAATTCAATAATTCACACCAGATTACACCAGTCACAATAGTCACAACACCATGTTTTTCTTTTTTGGCACATTTGCCCTTCATCCGATTGGGGCTGCTGGACGTTTGAAAAACCCAACCATATCGACCATATCAACCACCAGCAGCACAAATCATCAGGCCCAAGGGCAATAAGTCCATTGCCTCAGCTGTACTGGCAACTGGTTGATTAGGGGGAAAGGGATTCCAATATATTTATTACTGATTCTTGCGGATTTGTTTTTTAAAGTGATTCATAGAATAAGGTCTTGGCTCAGGATTCCCCCCGCCGAACAGTTTGGGGGTTTCAGCCATCGCCTGAGTGGGGACATCGTTGGTTCCCCACGGGTACGGTCTTACTGCGGACCGCGCCTTCGGTTTAGGGTGATCCTTGAAACCCTTATTGTGCTTATCTTTGACCTTGTATTTCTTATTTCCGGGGGTTGACTTTGTCCTCGCTGGCTTTGATTTGCACTGGTCATTTGGATTGCGATTGGTGGATTTTGCACTCAACTGCTACGCGCTGGTGCACTATTTTCCCTGGTTTCTGCAGGTGTACCGAACACCTGGTGGTTACACGGTCTGTTACAATTTTTGTGCAATTCAGTGGATCTCCTGCATTACAAATTTTGGTAACATTGATCGGTGGTTTCTGTAGGTGTACCTAACACCTAAATTTTTGGCACTGAACTGGCTACGCCCTGGTGCCGCAATTTGATCGACAATTTATTTATGTGTTCATTTTTGCTCCTCTTTCTCATTTTGATTGTGGGCTTTGACTTTCTGCAAAATTCCATCGCTGAGCTCTACCCAGAAGCGGCGACTGCGTCGACAGCGAGCATTTGCGAGACACGAGTGGCATTTGCATCGGAAAAAGGTAGTTGTGCTTGGCACGCTGGGACTCCGGCGTTTACACAGGATTTTTGCGGGACACCATTCACGAGACCCCATCTTTTTGAGGAAGATTCGCACAGAAATCAAAAAACAGCACAGAATCATGGCAGACCTATTTCCATGGCGCTGCATACACTGTCAGCGCATCAACAAGAAGGTCGCCGAACAATGTGCACTGTGCAAAGCGCACTGGACCACAGGTATGCGCCACAACACAGCGCCGAATGCTCACAAGGCGACAGCATACAGAGATGCATGGCCGCCGAAAGAACAACACTATGCCTGGGAAGACTGGGAGAACTGGGACAACTGGCAACAGCGCCCCAGCCGCTCGCAGAGCCGAACGAAGAGCCCTCGAGCTACGAAGGGATCACAGAGCCCAAGAGGACGCAAAGGCAAGGGCAAAGGTATTGGGAAACACAATACCAAGCACAAGGATGCTGCTGCGGGTACGCCGGGTGCAGAGACACAGGGCATGAACTACAGCTCCTCGCCGTTTGCACCCCTTGCCGCATCATTGCCTCCATGGCCATCCCTAGAAGGTCTGAGCCAGAATCTGATGCCAGCCACACCATCCGCAGCCAGCAGCTCCAACAACTTGGAAGTGCTGGCCCAGAAGAGAGAGTGCGTTGCAGCACTCAAAGTGGCTTACCCAGACATCAGTGTAGCTCCCCAGGAAACTCAGGAGCTTATCGAAAAGATGGACAAGGACATCGAGCGCCTGGAAAAGGAGAACAGCAAGTTCGTCACAAAGAACTTGCATGCTGCTACCAAAACATTGGGCAAGGCTCAGAAAACATTGACAGAAGCACTGGAATCGAGAAAGGTTCACCGCACCCGATGGATCAAGCATATCACGGAGGCGGTCACCACATGGCAAACACAGCTGCAAGAGTATCAGAAGCAACAAGGAGTGTTTCAGACTGCAGCCACAAAGGCCCGAGCAGATATCGAAACGGCCAGACGGGAGATCCAGGAGCTTTCTGTCAAAGCCTCCCAAGCCACATTGGCTGCCATGCCACCGATCACTGCAGTGACAGCGGAACAGGACGAGGGGAACATGGAGGCAGACACCGAAGAAGAGAAGCTGCAGGGGCAGCTTCAATCGGTGCTGCAACATTGTGCCGCAGTCCTGAAGGCAGAAGCTCCACAGCAGGTGGTCGAAGCAGAGGACCTGACCATGGAAGACGACGAGCGAGACAAAAAGCGCCAACGTTCCATGGAGCCCTTTGGTGTGCCAGCCTCTGCTGGAGCTCCCTTGGCTGCCAAGAACGCCTGATTGGGGGCGGTGCTATGCTAGTGCAGAGCCATAGCAGGCACGACGCCAATCAAGGAGCTGGAGGGGCTGATGCCTATGTATCGCTGCCAACGATGCGTGCAGCATGCCGCTACCAGCTGAGCGATTTTGACTCCCAACAATTTTTGCATTGGCAGCACTCTATCCAGACCGAACTCAACTACCTCAACCCATTTGATGCAGTCATGTCAGCATGGAAATTAGGTTGGAGTGTTTTTTGCGATTCAAATGATTTTTTCGCCATGAGACCCTCAACCGATGATGCTGTCATTTCTGGCCAAGGACAACAAGATCAGGGTTTGCAGACATGTGCGTACCATGAAGAGGTTCCCGTCCTGCGTAGTTGTCTCCGACAGCCTAATGATCTTAAAGTTGATCTTTCCAAACAAGTTCAATTTCATCCTGAAGCCTCCATACATATTGGATTAGAGGATGAACTCCACATGCACAATTCCAGAATGAACACCTTTGATTTGGCTACTTGGACTGAAAAACCTTGGACCAAAAAGCCAATTAGAGGTAGTTTCTCAAGTGACATTGCTCATCCTGAGAGCAAGCATAAGCGACAGAGTCGACAACCTGTGATCGATAAGATGAGGTTGACAGACGAACATGACAATGTCCCAAGGCGTGTTGCGGCAGCCAGCAATGACCCACCTACTGCCCAGCCAAATCAGGTTCACCTTCCACCACCACCAGCGTTTGTGACTGATATTTTTGGGCTGTCAGGTTTTCAGGCTTTGCCGCATGATTTCTTGATGGAAAACACGTTTTTGATTCGAACATGGTATGTCCACCATTTCCATTTTCCACGTTGGGTAGTTCCCAGATTTGTCGAATTGGATCATCGCTGGGTTCTATGGCAGAATGAAATTGCCAGATCATGGAGGGATATGATCCAAGCCAATGAAGATGTACAGTTTTTCACGGTGTTGCCTGACCCTGACCGTAGCTTCCTGCAAAGGCAAGTTGTTGCTGATGTGCTTGTCGTGCAAGGGATTGAGGCAGATCGATATGCGGGTTTGTTCACAGTCCATCATCAGGATAGACAAGGATCAATTAGACCCTTTGCAGTTGCAATTTCTCTGCCTGATGAAGTCAGTGGTGTTGGATTGGCAGCCGCTGCAGACATCTCACATCTCTGCAACACCAATCGCTGTAATTTCTATTTTGGCTGGCAACAGATCCCCTATTCACTTTTGCCTTCACATTATATGTTGGATGGACATGGTTTCGCAGGGCATATTTTTCCTTTGCCTCATCAACAAGCGGCCAGCTCCACCCATTCCCATTTTCACCAGAGGAGCCAAAATGCACAGCAAGGCTCGCAGAGCGGCGATGATAACAATCAGAGAGCCGATACAGGTCAAAGATTGGGTGATGGTGGCGAGGCTGAACATGACTTTGAAGATGAAGCTGAGCGTCTTACTGACACCTCACTGCCTGATTCAACGACACAGTTTGAACAATGGCAAGGAGTTCAAGTATATCGGTTAGGACGCCCAGTAGTGCACTGCTTTCTCCGCTGGGGTACATACAATGCCATTCTGCGAGAAATCGCCCATTTCCTCGGCGAGCATATGCGCAACCTGATTGGCATTCATCATGTCCAATGTGCTCTGGTCGGCCAGCATGAAGCAGAGGAGTCAGTTATACTGCAGTACGTGAATGACCTGCCGCTTGGCTCCACCGAAAAGCTGATCATCTTGGACATTGAAGTCCATTTCCCAGGACTACCAGAGGGTCTTTTGCGAGCACCGGAAGTCTCGAGAAGAGTCCATAGAGTAGTACCTCAGCTTACACGAGCATATGTCCTTCGACTTGCAAGATTGTTCAATTATTGCTTTTTGCAAGGGGACAGATGTCTGGTCTACTGGGATCTTAGTTTATGGCCTGAACAAGATGCTCGGGTGCGAACCATTCAACACGGCACTTATTTGCGAATTGTTGCAACACCGCCCCTAGATGCCACAGTCTCCACTGAAGCAGCCCTGAATTTTGCGATTTCGGTTGACGAGGATGAAGCCTCTGCAACCATGGACTGTACACTGCAGCCGAGATCAGGTCGAGCTTTAGCCTTGACACAGCGACAGGCTTCTTTTCAAAGGCTTTCAGAAGACACCATCGGCTTGCAGTCGGTTGGACAGAGAGGATTGTCATTTCATGTGAATGATGCATGTCTTGCGCCCTGGCAACGTCAGCTTGCACATGTCTTCAATGCACAGGGGTTTGTGGAATGTGCTGAGGAAGGATTTGTGGCATATGTTGTAACATGGTTCGTCGATCACCTGTATCGACCAAGATGCGCCAACAGCCGGCCAGTTCGACTCCGCAGTGCTGAGTTTGATGAATGGCGTGCACAGATTCTCGAGGTATGGCATGACAATATTGATCATTCTGCGCCAGTTGATATCACATTTGTCTTGCCTAACCCTCCGCATACAGAAACTGAAACCATATTGGCACACCTCCTGCTGGAACAACATCGACCGCCTGTCACGCATTCTGCGGGAGTGATTTCGGTTATCCGACAGGGCAGACGATATGCTGCCTTGAGACATACTGCAGTATCAACAGGCCGGTTCATCACGGTCACTGACATCTTGCGTGCAGTTTCCCTCCAAGATCTTTGTGTGCTGCATAGATGTAGGATCACCTTGAGACGTATGGACCTTCAGCCTGGAGACATTGAAGATGTTGATTCCGGTTTCTGCATCGTTGTTCATGTTGCGCCTTTGAATCTGGATGATAGAATCAATGCTGAGCATATGCGGCAGCAACTTTGGGCACCGGCAATGGCAGCTGCCATGGAAGCCCATCAACCGCCTGTTGCTGATGACTTGCTTGATGCACATGATGATCATGTTTCCTTTTCACAGATCGCACATTGCAGGTCCCGCTCTCATGTTCAAAGTGCCACCATCCTGACATGTAGACCAGGTCAGATTGACGAAGACATGGGGTTCCCCATCATTAGGGCTAATCCTGACCTGCCAAGGCGCCTGCGGCTTCCTAGACATGATGGAAGAGAGGAATGGATTCCCCCCCTAGGGCACCTGTTCCACACACAAGGTACCCGAGGAGTTTGGGACGATGAGCTCACGATGCATGTCATGACTTGGTACATTCACCACAACCGACGTACCGCATGCAGACGGTCCAGAAGTATCCAATTGCATGGTAATCCCTTGACATGGATAGAGGATCTCAGAGCTGCGTGGTCGGACACCATGGACCGCCGACTGCCATTCACAATTTACATCGTGCAACCGCGTCCACCGCAGCATTTGGTTCAGCCAAGCATCTGTCATATTCTACTCGAACAGGGTAATTTTGACAACCATGTTGCAGTCGTATTGACAGCTCTGATGGAGGGTACCCCACATGATGCCATTGTGCAGGGTGCCTACTCTGTACCAAATCAAGCAAACCGTGACACGGTTTTGCAGCACATGGACCTTGCACCCTACTGTGTTCAGAGGGATTGTAGATTGTTCCGGGATCGGCAATTACTAGATGAAACTGCTGTTGTGGCCTTGGAATCAGGACACAGCCTATGCATCCGTATTGCAGCGCCACATGAACCCACACAGACTGATGACCCGACGGCAGAGCTGCATTTTGAAGATCTTTCTCTTATGCAAGCGCCAAGAAGTTTTCCGCCGCACACAACTGCTGAACAGCCAACAGCACCTGCGTCTTCATGTCCGATGAACCCAAATGCGCAGGTTTTCCAACCTGATCGACCAAACCTGTGGTTGTTCCCAGATTTTGTACAGGACCTGCATTCAGCCTTTGTACGTGCGACATTTGCATGGGAAGATGAAGTAACATCAGCTCAAATATTGGTTTGGTTCGTCGACCATCGGTTTCAGTTCCCATCATGTATGTCTCCAAGGGTTGTTACTCTGACTGACGATTTTACAGATTGGGAACAGCGTATCACAGCTGCTTGGCATGACTCCCGCCAACCGGAGCTTGCGCTTGAAATTGCTGTTGTGCAACCTGCTCCTCCCCAGCTTGAGCCAGGTGTTATAGCACATGTTATTTTGGTCCAGTCGCCAAACGATGCATGGGCAACATCTCTCGTCTCTACCATTGATTTCAGTGTTGGACACCAGCCAGTACGCAGAGTAGTCACTACACCTGAACGGACCACATTTGAGCACATAGTGCGCGCTGTGGGCTATGAAAGGACTTGTCTGCCTACACAAGGCAGACCACCATGTGCACTCTGGTATGATCTCCAACAGATCCACCCAGGCCACCCCATCTTGGGCTGGACAGGTTTCGGCTATGTCCTGATTATTGATGATTTGATCCACCAGCAGACTGATGCAGTTACCGACACTGACACGGCATCCGTCCTTCAAAAGCCTCTTCCTGCCAAACTGCATGACGATAGCCAGATTGATCCAGATGGTAACCTGCATATTCAGTTTGCGGAAGCAAGTAAAGCTCTTGACAGGCTTGACACACATTTTACTTTGCCAGTGTTTGATTTGGAGGCAGTTTTGGCTGACCATGCCCACTGGCTTCCGCAATGTCTGCCATGGATCCGTGCCGAATGGTATGCGTGTGACCAGCCGATTGACCATATCTCTGTTTATTACGACGGGTCCTTTTTGAAGAAGGATGGCACGGCTGGAGCCGCAGCTGCGGCTTTTGTCCTGCAAGGCAATCGATGGCTGTTTGCTGGTGCAGTTTCTGCACACCTACCGGCACCGGAATTTGGTTCCTACACTGCGGAAGTACGAGCAGCCTTACTGGCTACCAAGCATGCATATGATCTTGTCAAGATTGCGGCTGAGGTTTTCCGTTGCAAACCAAGTGTGACCTTCTTGTTTGACTCCCTTTCAGTTGGAAAGCAAGCGGAAGGTCTCTGGCAAGCAAAAAAGGACAAGGTCTCCTGCCATGCCATACGTAGCCTGCTGCGCATCATGCAGGCTCGATGGGAAGTTTCATGTGAACACTCCTTTGTCCCAGGCCATAGTGGTGACCCTGGGAATGAACTTGTCGACACGATTGCACTATGTGCTACACAAGGCGTTCCCTTACAGAATTGGGATACTGTTTTTAGTATGTTGACAAATTGGCGGTTTGTTCAAGCCCTCTCTTGGGGATGGATCTTCCAACATCCTTCATTTTCCAAATGTTGGTCTGAGAGCACACTTTGTTTGCCGGCCAAGCCCAAGACCACACCCTCTGCGCAGGCTGTGGGAACGAGCATTGTATCGGAATGTGGTAGGACAGATGATACTGCAAAAATCAAGCTTGACCTACTTACTTGTAATGTGCTTACATTGACACAGGGATCTGGGACAGCCAACAAAGACCAACCCAATCCACTGGGGCCAGCCAGACTCCAGTCTATCACCGCACAGATTCGACAATCACACGTGACCATTTTTGCTTTGCAAGAAACTCGGCTGAGGACCAATGTGCGCTTGCATAGTCCTGACTTTCACTTGTGGCATGCCCCAGCCAATGCTAAAGGACAGTTTGGTATTTTAATTGGATTTGCCAAACAGCAGCCATATGCCTTTCAGCAGGATGGGACGCCGCATGAAAATGGATGGTTTGATGAGCAAGATTTCTCCGTCATTGCCGCTGATCCCCGGTACCTGATCATTAGACTACAGACGAGTTTTCTCAAATGTGTCGTGATTGCGGCCCATGCACCACATAGTGGGGCCGACTCGGAATGCATTGACACGTTCTGGCATCAGATTGAGCAATTGATTCCAAGGAAGTATGATTGCTGGCCGAAATTGCTCCTTGCGGATGCGAATTGTCGATTTGGAGACTGCCCCAACCAACACATTGGGAATCATGATGCGGAGATCTCCACAGTGAAAAGTGACGCCTTTTGTCAGTTTGTGACCACGCAGGGCATTTTCATTCCAGCATCTTTTTCTACATGCCACACCGGACCGTCAGGTACCTGGTGCCATCCAAATGGTGACTGGACTAGGAATGATGTCATAGGGGTTGACATGACCTGGCCATTAGTTACCTGTCGCTCATGGACTGACATGCAGATTGATGTATCGCTCCAGAAGGACGATCATAGGCCTGCACGAGCTTATTTGGAATGGCACGCTGAACTGACACAGACACAGAGGCAAACTAGGAAGAGCTTACCTAAGTGTCCTCCTCAATTTTGCCATGATGCCCTTTCGGACTTGAAAACGCAACTGCAGGCACAAAACTGGCTTGACATTGATGTACATACACACTTTCATGCCTTACAAAGTGACCTTGCCTTGTGTACAAGAAGGGACAGACATGGTTTCCAAAAGAAGCCACGCAAAACCACCATGACCGAAGATACCTGGGCATTGGTTTGCACAAAACGTAAATGGAGAAAGAATTTGGCCGAGTGTCAGACGCTCCAAAAGCGGACATTTTTGCAGGCCATTGTGGCATCATGGAAGCAGGCTTGTATTTGCTCGACAGAAGACACCAACCAGCAAAGTGTCCTTTCTGAGTTTGATCAAATTTTAACCCAACTCGACATTGATGTTGCCACTGCATTGCATCAGTTTCGCAGTTACGGTGCGCAAGTCACACGAGCCCTGCGGCATGATGATGCCAATTTTTATGACACTCTTGCGCAAGAGAGCTCACAGTGGCTGGGGCCTCAGCATGCGAGAGAAATGTGGCGGACTTTGAGGCGTAGTCTGCCGAAATTTCGACAGCGCAGGGTCGGCTTTGATCCCCTCAAAGTTGAGGCATTGGACGACCAATGGATGCCCCATTTTTGCCAGCTTGAAGTGGGGAGGCCTACCACGCCGATGCAGTTGCTGGGAGAATGCCATCATAGGCAACTCCACACACCAGTGCAACAAAACCATTTTGATTTGACAGACTTGCCTACGATTAGCCAGCTTGAAGATGTTTTGCGACAGACACCAGCAGGGAAAGCAACGGGGTTTGATGTTTTGCCTTCTCAGCTTTTTAGGCAAAATCCCTGTGATTTGGCGGATATCTTTTTCCCACTCCTGCTCAAGATGTATGTCTGGCAACATGAACCCATTGCAGGGAAAGGAGGTCAGCTTGCTGTCATCCACAAAAAAGGCAGTCCTTATACTGCACAAAATTATCGTGGCATCATGCTCTTGCCGACCTTCACCAAACGAGTCCATGCACTCTTGCGGACGCATATCATGCAGCTCCTCCATCGCCAACGCCCATCCGGGCAGCTAGGAGGGTTCGCGCACCAACAAGTGATGTATGGATCTCAATCCTTACAAGCATTTGGACGCATCATGGATGGCCAGAACATTACTTCAGGCATTTTATTTCTTGACCTTACGACAGCGTTCCACAGGCTTGTCAGAGAATGGACGTCCGGTATCAACCTAGATGCAGACCTGGAAGAAGTCTTGGAGGCTATGGATGCTGAGGGGTTGCCAGTGGCTGACATGTGTGATCGGCTGCATTTGCCGTGCCTCTTGGAACGTTTGGGCGCACCGGCATTCCTTGTTCAACTCATCAAGGATGTCCACACCAACACGTGGATGGCTGTTGGCACTTCACAAACAATGGCCACAACCAAGCGCGGCACTCGACCCGGGAGCCCGCTGGCAGATTGCATTTTCCATGTGTTGATGTCGGATATCTTGCATCACCTACAAGTGTGGATCGACTCCCATGAAGCCTTCAATGATATCCTACGAGAATTGGACATCACCGGTAGCAGCTTTGTAGCTTGGGCGGACGATCTTGCAATCCCTTGGGCAACGAGGACTGCCGATGAGATGCCAGAAGCCCTCAGAGCGGTGCTGAGATTTGTTCTGCAACTCTTTCATCGTTATGGGTTCTTGCTGAACATGGACAAAGGCAAGACGAGCGCTGTTGTGTCCTTTCGAGGGACAGGGGCGCCGATGCTTCGCCAACGTTTTCAACTGGGTCCACGGCCAGGGGATGAGATCCCGATAGGCGACCACACATTCTTTTTGCACTACGTGCCCTCTTACAAGCATTTGGGCACAGTTTTCGCTGCCAACCACAAGATGGACCTGGAAATTAGAAGCCGCATTGGTCAGGCGCAGGCCGCGTTCAACCAGATTTCCAAACCCATCTTGACCAATAGGTATTTGCCTGTGCAATTGTTTCGTGTATTGGTCGAGACCAAGCTCTTCTTCGGCCTCGGAGCCTGGATTACGCCGACACACCGCCAGATCGCCAAAATTAAAGCTGTCCTGTTGAGAATGTTACAGAAAGTGTTACGTCTCACGAAAGATGCTATTCTTTCGACATCGGCAGCTGAAGTATTCCGACGTACCCAGCAACCGGATCCACGGGTGCGCCTAGCCACTGACCGACTGCTCTATGCACAGAGATTGTGGGAACATGGGCCAGCTGACCTTCAACATCTGTTGCACAGAGAACAAGCGTTATGCCAGACATCATGGATGGATGGGCTGCTTGCCGATTTAGAGTGGATGCGCAAGTTGGAACCTGATGCACACCCACCTATTGATCCGTCCGATCTGACTGCCCTTTTTGATTTTTGGCAGAGCGGCACAGCAGAATGGCAGAAGCGTGTCAAAAGGGCCTTCAGACGCTTCCAGAATCAAGAGCACATGATGCATCAGATGCATAGATTCCATGGTCAAATCATGAAAGCATTGCATAGTTGTGCCACATTCCGAGATTTGCCAGCGGACTCACATGATGCAGATGAGGAGCACAAATGTTTTTGTGGTCGCTGCTTTACCACCCCACAGGGTTTAGCAACGCATAAACGCAAAGCCCACCAAATCGGTGCCCTGGAGAAACATCTCATTGACGGGCCCACATGTCCATCCTGCCTCAAGTTCTTTTGGAGCCGACAAAGGCTCTACCAACATCTCTCATATATTCCGAGAAGGACGCAGGTCAATCGCTGCTTCCAAGATTTACAGAAGCGAGGTTTCCGAGTCCTTGAGGAATTGACACCTGCGCACCCGGCACAACCCAGAGGGCTTCACCGCACTGAAGCCTTGCAGGCACTGGGGCCGCATTTGCAGCCGAAAGATCGTCGCAGTAATGAGCTGCTTTTGGCACGCCAGCGACTTGCACAGGTGGAAGAGACCATCTTCCGCATAAGGGTCCCAGAGGAGGCAGAAGTGCAGCAGAGCGCATACTGGAAATGCCTGACGGCAATTACTGAGGGATGGTTTCAACGATTTCGTGAAGCAGGGTTTGATGCATCCATGACTGTTCAACTCCCTGACCTGTGGTTAGATGCGGCTGCTACGGCAGACCCAGCGTATCCAGAATGGCTGGAAAGTGTCTACATTGGCTGGGGTGAAAAATGTTTAGAAGATGTCATCGCCAAGTTTGAAGACGGTGAGGCCGAGTCACTTGTGGATAATGCTTTTGCAGATTTCATTTACGAATTCCCAAGGATGCAAGCACTCTCAGAGGCAGCCTTTCTGAGACAGAAGGTCGGACGTCTGGATCAAGAAAGAGGCTCTCTGTTTCCCCACAGACCGCCACGGTTCGGCACTGCCAATGCGAAGGAGAGAATCCAAACGGCCTTACAGATCCCTTCCCTTTTTGCACAACAAGAGGAGTGGCTGGAGAAGGTGCGTGCAATTCGGTTTGACACAATCCCTGATTGCACGACTATTCCACGGGGTGTTGAAGCTCACACTCAACTGCCAGTATTCCTTGTTGTCCATCTCTTCAGCGGAAGGAGAAGGGCAACAGATGTCCATGCCAGACTTGAGGAGTTTGCACAGGACAAGGGTTTCAGGGTCCAAGTTTTGTCACTTGACACAGCGGTTTCCGTTTTCTACGGCAATCTACAGGCCGGCCATACTACTTGGAAGTTTCTTACGACCTTGTACAAGGCAGGGCGTGTCTCTGCGACAATTCTGGGGTCCCCCTGCGAGACATTTTCAGCAGCGCGCCACCATCCCTTATCTGCTGAAATGACTGGGAAATGGCCCAGGCCCCTTCGCAGCGCTGCCCGATTTTTTGGCCTTGATGGCCTTACAACACGAGAATTGAGGCAAGCAGAACAGGGAGCGGAGTTTTTCATGCAAGGGATCTTGGCTGCCGCCTGGACCCTCCGATGCGGAGGTGTTTATCTCAGTGAACACCCGTGGAAGCCAGAGGATGAGGCCAAAGTGAGCATTTGGACCTCACCCTGGGTGCAGTTGATCCTCCAGCTCCCGAATGTACGATTGCATAGGGTTTGCCAGTGGAGATGGGGTGCAAGTGCAGTCAAGCCCACAGGAATCCTTGCCATCAATTGTCCTCTTTTCGCACAATCCGCATATAGAAGACAGCTGCCTGATGCTGTCAAGCCTCAACAAGTTGCAATTGGCCGTGACAAAACTACTGGAACATTCCGAACTGCGGTGCTCAAGGAGTATCCACCAGCCTTTTCTGCGGCATTAGCTGGTGCAGTAGCTGATTGTTTCCAAGTGGCGACACGTCAGACTAATCTGACGCTTGGGCCATTGCAAGAGCCAGAAATCGAAGCCTGGGTACAGATGGCCTTACAGGCCTGCGCCAACATTCGCACAGAGGCGCCGTGGCTTCCTGATTTCCAAGGCTGAACACTTTTGTACCATAATTAAACCTCGTTCGCAAGGCGGAACGATGCACGGCAGCAAGGTACGAACCTTTTGCGCATGGAAAGTGGAAAGTGGAAAGTGGAAAGATTCATAGAATACATGCTTAAGGTGTCTTAAGGTATATATTCTATATATTCTATGGTTGATAAAAGCGATACAAAACTATAGTTACAGTTTTTTTCAACCAACAAACGCTGTTGCTTCCCTTGGATCCTCCAACATGGACGACATCAGCCAATCAGCCTTTTGAGCCAGTGGTGCTGATGGTTGGGTTTCCCGTGATGGATGATCAAATCGTCCTTATAGAACAACAGTTTTTGTATAACCAATATAGTCAGTAATCTACCAAAACTATCATTTATTGACGGCATCTCCACTCTTCATGGTGTTAAAGCTTAAAACATCTTGCAAAACTATGTACATAAACACACACATTCTCAGTGAAATGCCTAATGTTCATCGTTAAATCACCATTTACCCGCCATTTTTTTAGCGCCTTTCATCCGCCCTTGTCCATCCCAGTCACAGTGAGCTTCAGGTGCTCTTCAGCCATCAATTTCAGCGCCTTGCCGCCAAGATCGCCTTGGATAAACCCAGCATTTCCCTGGTGTATATTATATATGCTTAGGTTTAGGTAAAGAAAACGTCTATATCCAAAACAAACTGAAATTGACTTGTGTTTTCGGTTTAGCAATTTTCACAATGTATATAATGTATATTGCTGTAATTAATATCATCCTGGGGATACTGGTATCCACCAACAATCATTGACATAGTTGCACATTTAAACGCGATTTACACCGAACATTTTTTAAACCAATCCGAGGTCGTAGGGGGCACAAATTCCATGAGATCCTGCGCGCTCGCAGAATCAGACACTGAAAACTGCTAGTGACATCAGCCTGGTGCTTCTTTCTCGCTCACCCATCCTTCAATCACTCATTTGGGACATGTTCAAACAGCCACACAGTATATAATGTTTGAACGATTAAACGTTTTGGGGTTTAAGTCCGAGGGGTGCTGGTGCCTTTAAAATACATAATGGGATTAGATGATCAAACATGAAAATGATCACGGCTCGGGCAGTTTCACTGCGAAAAACACCTTTCTTAACTGCGTTTGGACTGGATGCCCTGCACCATGGCAATCACAAGAAACTCTGCAATATTCTGCAACGGTTAAAATTGAGAGTCCAAGTTGGACCCGCAAAATCGGCATGTTCTTAATATGTATGTATCGCTAAATAGTAATGTCTAAGTATCGAATTTTCCAGTTTGAAGGTCCACCAATTTTGATACATACCCCCACTGCTAAAAAGGCACGTCCGCTGGTTCAATTTGCTTTGATGTTTCTTTAGCCGGGCCGTTTGCCACCACTTCGTGTTGATGAAAAACCGCCCATCACAAAATCTGTTCCTACGCGGCGTTACCCATTACCTCTGTTCGTTCGCCAAGTTGGTTTATTTCCCTAGACTACCTGGTGAATTGGTGGCGACAAAATAACTCTGACTAGATGGGCTCTTTCCTGAACCTCTTCAAACACTGCTCACCAAAAGAAACCACCCAGACCACCTTGGTCTGGCACGTTCCCAACATACTCCCAACTTATATTCCTGAAAGTTTCTACTGAATATTGATGTCCTTCTATGTTATAGGTTATGTTAATAGCTCTTAAGTCATCACATTATTCCTATCAATAATGTCGTTTTGGTAACAATAGAGGGGCCGGTTTGGTATACCATCTATCATCACTTCACTGTTGTTCAAGGGGTAAACTATCAAACCCCCCTATTAATCAACCAACCCATGGGAAAAGGACATCACACTATTCCTATGTCCATATTCCCAGTATATCTCCAGTATATCTCCAGATATCCCCAGATCTTGCCACGAAGCTGATGGCATTGGAAGTGAGCTCCAAGGATCGCAAGTCCCCCCAGTTGCGTCCAGCTACCAGGTGCAGCACTCCCTGGAACGTGGCAGTTTAACCGCGGAAAATGGGGAGCTTTAGCAGCTGAGCTAAGCTGAGCCAAATGGGGGTTAAATACACATGTTCCATGGTTCACTGTCTTGCTTATTGATTAATTGATTAACCATGGAAAGTTGGTGTTTAACAAATACATTCAACCAATACTAATAATTATAAATGGGGTTTTGCCATGGAAAATTAAGACTTCACCATTAAAAACATGGTGGATGAATGGAACATCATTATGAGGTAAACTAGCTAGTATTGCGATGTTATCAGGCAATATCAGGGAACTACCATTGTTAAGGGATATGGTGGGACTTAAGCAGCTGGGGATATTGGCTCTCAATGATTTTTACATCTGGTAAATTAAGAGTTTGCCATCGGAAATCCCAATTTTGCTAGGAAACTCATCTACAAACGGCCCAATTTCAATAGCAAACTGCTAACTTACGAAGATTATATATAGATATGGTCAATGTACTAAACCTCAAAACATATACCAGTCCCTTAAATGACCCAAAAAAATTCCTGAAATGGATTGGATGTTGAAACCATTGAGGATTGGAGGTTCAGTGCATTGCTTCACCACATTATAAAACTTGAATCATGATTTACCCTCTGGTAAACATACAAAAAGCTATTGAACATTGCCATTGATATATAGTTGAATTGCCCATAAATAGCATGGTGATGTTCCATAGTTATGTTAGTTTACAGGAGGGTATTTGTGGATTTGTGGAAAGGAATCGCACTTTATCACAATTAGGAAACATTTTGTTCATCTGGGTAAATCGGAAGTTCACTGTTCTACCTTCATACTACATCAAATACATGCATGCATGCACGTAACATGTATCCAGAAAAATATGATTCATATAGCTGCATCATATATATATATATTAAATACCTCTGTCAGTAATTTAATGTTCACATTCAGGAAAAACACATATATATATATATAACATATATATAATATATATATATAACATATATATATATATACATTGTGGATATTTCATAGTTCACCAACCTGAGACGAGGTCATCTTGGGATGGTTACCCGGTTACGATATAAGCATAATATTTTTGTTTTACTTCGTCGTGAGGTCGTTGCAACTTCCCCATGAAATCACCATTTTCGCCTTACATCCACACTTTTGTTAGTGAAACCCTTAAACCCCAGTGTTGGTTAATGTCAATTTCGGATTAATAAACCATGGTTTACTAATTGTGGGGGTACCCTCCAAATAGTCACAATATGATACATAAATGGTACCCCCCCAATTAAACAGTCTAGGGGTTTATTAATCCAGGGTTGACATTAAACACCATTATCGTTGGTTTCCCCGTTTTGTTTTTTTAAATAACAACTTTTGTTGGTATTAACTCGCCCCTTCTGCGCCTCATCCGTGATGGAGTTGTGGCCTAAGCCCAAGCCCATCAAAGCGCATGTCCTCGGTGGTTTTGCTTACTGAATTCATGGGTGGTACCAATAGCCCAGTTCTAGTGATTTTGAATGTACATTTTATTGCCTCATAACTTAGTCTGATAGTCAATATATGTCAATATGTACATTTAAATGATATTCGTTTTAGTATGTTTATGATTACTATCCGTATACATACACTTTCAAGTACGTCGTATGTTAAGCATTGTTAAGGGGCCTCCTTTTGTGCAGGCGTTGTGGAATGTTGTGGATATGAAACTCATGGCGTTCAATCCATCCATCGAAGATGCCAACTGGGATCATGATCCCAAACACTGGCAGATAAAGCTCGCGATGAACGAAAAACAACGCTTCAAACCAGCCACAAGATGTCATGGGATGGAAATGCGTCAAAGAAAACCAGTGTAGAATGTGCATCTCTTGGTACACAACCATATGATCTTGGTACACAACCATCTTATCTTGGCACACGGTCCCATACCAAATATATGTACCTTTCGCAAAAAAAGGGACCCTGGATTCAACGATCTTTTTCGCCACGCCATGTCGCAACGAACACCAAATTGGTGCCATCCGAAATCGGCTGCTCCATAGGGTCTCCCCCAAAAGCAACACGTGCGTCATTGGATGAATCACCCAAACTCTTGATATCATAGATGTAATGTAATACAGATGATGGTCTCAAACAAACCATAGGAAAGAAATCTGTGGGCAATATTCCGAGCAAACCATTGGCCCAGTTGTTTTTGCCTGTTGAATCGATGTTCTCATCATCGGTATATGGATATTGTGGATCAGCTCTATGCATTCAGCACGGCCGGTTCCGAAGGACTACTAGCTCTCAGGGCTAGCAGGGCCTTCTCAATGTTCATGGTGGATGTTCTCAATCTGATGCCTAAGGGAAAGCTGAGCACTAGATGGAACTAGGACTGCCAGCAGCTTTTTGACTTTTTTCGGAAAGTCAGGTATTGAAGCGACATGTTGGTTTTGCTGGTAGTGAGCTTACTTGCCGGTGGAAATCGAGTGACATGTGCCATGACATCGTTCTACTCTTCAGGCTCTTCAGGCTATGGAAAATAGCCACTCGTAGTACTTAAATTATCTATAAGTGTGCCATTTTCCATAGCCAAGTGTTCAATTATCACAGGGTATACCCCGTGATTCTTGCCGAACCACTTCTCATGGATGTTCATTCACCCAACAGGTGGTCCGACTGAAAAAGCTTTGAAACCGGGCCAAATCATCAATCCCCATCAAACCTGGTTGGTGGTTGAATCAACCCCTCTGAAAAATATGAGTTCGTCAGTTGGGATTGGGATGATGAAATTCCCAACTGAATGGAAAGTCATCCCCATAGTTCTTGTCTTTGTTGATCCCCCATCAATTCATCTCTCTCATCTCGCGCCGGAGTCCACCACGCTTTTTGAGGTGATGTGATCACTGGCGGTACCGATCCACTGGAGGTTCGTTAGTACCAAAGAAAGCTACTGGACATTGGGAGTACCCTCTGGTTATGACGAACAGTTTGCGAACTTGAAGCCATGGCCCAGTCGAAATAGTTGATGTTCCCATTAATAGCATGGTGATTTTCCATAGTTTTGTGAAAGTTTACCAGCGGGTATATCAACTGAATTTTAAGCCGTACATAGACCTTATAAATGGCAGATACCTCCAATAAATCGGTTCCTGAAATGGCCATTAAGAACATGGGGTATACACCCCAGAAAGCATCAGATATGGGTTTGGGGAAAATGATCATTCATCAGTGAACGGAATGGGGTTTTTCCGAAATTTTGAGACAACCCATGTGGTACATCCATGTAGCCACTGCTCATTGACCACAGTTTACCACACTTGACCCAGACCAATCCTTTTGAATCACAACTGGGGAAAAAACCTTGGTAACTTGGCACTTCTGCAAGATCCAACTGATGTCTATGTTTTGTCTTGGCTGGATCCTGATGGATTGTTTACTGATCTGGACCAACTTTCTTTTCAGTTTGTGGTATGGAGCCATGTTTTTCGTCCACGTGACCATCGTTTCGAAACTCTTCGATGAGTTCCAAGGCTTTCCTGGGTGCCACGTTGATATGGGCGTTGCAAAGGATCCGATGAACGAGAAATACTACCCATGGCTGGATAAGTTGAGGCATATAACGTGGTCAACTATACTTTATGACGGATATATCTATCTATTTATCTATCTACTATTTATTTATCTATCTATCTATCTATCTATCCATCCATCCATCCATCTATCTATCTCTCTATATGTATATGTATATATATATATATGTATATATTACGGGTATATAACTATATATAATATAGTTGATGGGGTTTATAAACCATCTAACTGGGTACCAACGTGTAGGTACTGATGACTTGAATGATAGTCACATTGGTCCGCACTGCACTTCATCTGAACGCTGGTCCTGATGACTGAGATGCTGCACATGATGGTAGAGCAGATCGTGGTTGTGCCTGTGGCTGTGATTGTGATGATTATGAGCATGGCAATCGTGATAGTGATGGTGATGATGATGATGATGCTGATGCTATATATATATATAAGATTATGTATACGTATAGTAATATATGTGCATATACAAAGGCTAGAATACTCCCCTCCCTGCAACTATAATCATCAACCAACAGAGGTTTTGAAGATTGCTCCTTTGGTGAAGTTTTATTGCCTCTTCGGGAATGTGGGAAACCCAATAAGCAACAATCCCATTAGCCAACAAAATGACCGTGGGTAATCAAAAACATAATCCCATAGATTCCATAGATCAGGGGTATAAAGTGTATACCTAATACTAAAACTCTATTGGGGATGGTTTATTGAGTTTATTGCACTTGGCCCAGAATTAAACAATATTAAACATCTCATTTTTTAAAACCCACAGTATTCCAATATTTAACACCCACTATATTGGTAGTATACGCCCATGATCTACTATGGGGTTTACCCTCCGGTAAACTAACATAACTATGGCAAAACACACAATTTGTTCATGGATAAATCAACTATTTCTATGGCCATTTTCGCAAACGTTTTCTTGTTTACCAGAGGGTCACCAATGGATTTTTGAGGCTTTTCCATTTGCTTTTCCCATCGTTTTCAGACAAGTTTTACATGGTTTTCCATGGTTTTCCCAATGGTTTTCCATGGATTTTCCCATGACAAGTGCCACATGAAAGTGCTACATCTTTGCACAGCAAGTGTCTCCAGAATCTCCATATCAAAGTCCGCCAGCTCCATCTGGATATTGCTCCTATTAGGAACGTTGGCGACGAGAACACTTTTGGGAACCAGGAGATGGATGGATAATGATGGATAGATATTATATAAACTATATAATATTATATTAATTATATTATATTATATTATATTATATTATATTAATTATATTATATTATGTTAATTATATTATATTATATTAATTATATTATATTATAATATAGTATATTATATTATATTATATTATATGATATTATATTATATTAATTATATAATATTATATTATATTAAATTATATTAAATTAATTAAATTATATTTTATTAATTATATTATATTATATTATATTATATCATATCACATTATATTATATTTTATCATATCATATTATATTATATTATATTACATTATATTATATTACATTATATTATATTACATTATATTATATCATATATTATACATTATATATTATATTATATTAAATCATATTATATACATATATATATATCATACTATATTATATATTACATATTATATATTATATATCATATTATATATATATGTATGGCTCAAACAAAAAAAAGATAAATTTTGGGGCCAGATATACCAAGATTTCTCTGGATTGACACTAGTTGAGCGACCAAACGCTGGTGGTTTTGTAGGGATTTGAGTACCCATAGCACAGGGAAAACAAAAACAAGTACTGCTCATTTCGGCTCAGAGACAGATTCTTCCAACTTCGGCCCTGGCCACGGGACTTCCGCAGGAATACAAACATGAAGTTTTCCACAAAGATGCTGTTTGCCTGCAGAACACTCCAGGTATCAAAATGAGTTGAGACGAAACCAGGCTTACGCTGATTGAGTTATAAAAAATGTAACCTAAAATGAGAGGTTACTGGACTTTGATTGATTTTTAGTAAATCTATAAGTTATCCTCACTCAAAATAATGGGGCCTGGTTAATCTGTGAACCAAATGGCAAAAGTGAGCAAGACATGCGACTTGCTAACTGTAGGTTTTCTTGTCCAAAACGCTTTCTTGCCATCCTTGCAAGAGCCAGGCCCCTTCTAACTCGGATATATGAGGGCCATACCCCATTCATCTCAGGTCACTCACCATTGACTGGCTTGAGGGTTCCTCCACTGATCAACTTGCGTGTTATATATATACACAATATAATATACATATATATATATATATTATATATATATATATAGGTAGAAACAACGTATTTGCTCAAAGGTGTTCCTTTCGAAAGTATAGCAAAGATCCTCCCACTGTGAGGTTAAGTCTTTGCAGGTGTGCTGGAATGTGGCTGGAGTTTGTGACTTGCTCACTACTCAAGTATACTGTATACTCAAGTGTTTAATGCAATTTAATGCTAGAAACCCAAATCAAAAGGAAACTGGACATGTTGAAAGCATTCAGTGCTGACTGTCCAAACAATTTTGAAAAATACCAGGCATGAAATCTGACGAAATCCCCGACTTTAGCTGGCAGCCAACCCTCCGGCTATTGACATGGAACTCTTGGCTCAATCCCAAACAATTCTTGCCAATTCATGACCAGCCAACTCTCTGCCAATTCGTATCCTTTTTCGCCAAAGTCCCCCAATAAATTCCCCACGTCATAAATCGCCAAAGTGCTCGTACGCCCTTGCGGGCCATGCTATCGAGTATGAAAAGCAAATCACGGCTAGGCAAGTCCTTGGTGATTCCCCGAAGAGAGGCGTCCTGTTGCGGGCCATGCTACAATGTGGTGCCC